ATCATCTCCAAGAGGTATAAGAAGGGTATTAGTTCGATAAAGGGTGGATTTTTTCCTGTATTGATCCAGAAGCTTTAATGCCCTCTCCTGTACATTTTCTAGTGTGGTCTCCACTGGGTGCTTTCCCCATGGACAAAGTTCATACTTAAATCCCCGCATTCGAGCGAAATCAAACTGACAGCAAATTGCAGGCTCTGGTCCACAAGTGTGTGGGATATCGTAGGAATAAAAAGGCATCATATGAACAAATATATCTGTTGTTTCCATAGCATCCCAACTTTGACGCCAAATGTATTCAAGATTCTTATGCTGGGCAAGGTCTTTCTTGAGCTCGTAATGAGTCCTCTGAATAAGCATGTTTTCAAAACCCATACGCCGGAGGAGATAAGCCATGGTTGATGAATAGCCAAAGGGATCTATAGCCCAAGAATTCTTAGGAATAACCCCAATTGTGTCATTCAGCCACATATTACCCTCTGCTATCTGTAGAAGAAGTGATCCAGTACAAAATCAGATACTTAGAGCCGCCTGCAAGATGATTTACCCAAAAAGGAAAGCAACACAATGCAACAAGCGGCTGGTTAACTAGCCAATTGACATTCTAACATCACATGTTCTATGCATAGCCCTTAAAGAGAGGTTTCAGCACAAAAGAGGTCTAAGGTGATGTCGAACTATAACCAACCATAAGTGACATAATAAATACTCCACAAACCTAGCAGAAGCAGAAACATTAAATGAAAAACGCAGTAATCAACACCATCATCTATGTTTCAGTAAGAATTAAATTTCTAAAAGCAAACAGGAGTAGACAAATTAAGTGCCTATAAAAACTGGAAAGTCAAGCGTTGATGTACATACATACCTGTTCAATTATGGCAAAATAATGAGAATTAGCCTGCAGGGAACATTAAGAAGAAACTTTAGCACATACAATCACAATCAAAACAATCAGCAGAAGAATGGCGTGGGAAATAAACAACAACTATTTATTTTTAAGTAACCAAACACAAGTACAGAAACATACCTCATCATTCATAACCCAGCCACCTCCAACAATCTCTAGCTGCCCATTCTTAACCAATTTAGTCAAAGCTTCTTGTTTATTAGGTGAAGCGTCTCTCCACCATCTCTCCAGATATGACATCTCCTCCCATATAAACTTTCTTCTTGAATCCTACCAAACAGATTCAAAACAAATCCCACACTTATAAGATTCTAGCTAGATTGAAAAAACCACAATCTAATCCAATCTTTTACATAAAACTTTGAACTTCTAGCTATAATACTTATATAGTTATTCTTCAATCTCAAAACCCATTACTAAAAATTCAAACTTTAGCTCCAAAGACTGCAAAATTTTCCAAAAAAACGAGCTTTTAAAACTCTGTTTTCAACACGAAACTAAAAAAAAAAACAGAATCCAGCAAAGAAGTTAGTTATAGAGTTTAATGACGTCATGAGAAATTTTATAGGCACTAAAGATTGTTCACGGGATAATCATGGGGGAGAGAATTAAAAATTTAAAACCAAAAGCAAACAAAAAATTCGTCAGACCTTAGATAAAGTCTCAACAATGGTGTCAAGAATATGCCTGGATTGTCTCTGGTAATACTCCTCCACCGTCAATTTCCAACCAGGATCGTTATGAGAATGAGGCACAACGAAGATTTTGAGCTTCTCTTTCTCCCACTCGTCTCCTTTATACGTAACTCTCCAACCTTGTTTCCATGGACCACCATCTGCATCAAGAAACTCAATCCTATCGTATAGATCTTTAGTTGTGATATCAACAACGGCGCCGGAATTGGAATCGTTTAAAGGTCGGCGATTTATATTCTTCCGTGGCTTGACGATCCGATTGGATCTGGAGGTAAGGAATCGTGAGGAGATCGGTCCTGGTACGCCGAAGTGGAAGAGAGTGAGGAGGAAGAAGAGGAGTGAGACGATTAGTGCGATGATGAAGAAGTTGGCGAAGAGGAAATTGATTACGAGTGTTCGTTTTCGTGGTTTTCGATTGATCGCTAGTTTTGACTTTGATAAGGCTGTAGGGAGGAGGGATTGGCCCCAACCACTGCCTCCGCCTCCGGTGGAGCTACGGCGGGTGTTGCCGATGTAGGAGGAGAACGGCATAATGTCTCGTCCTCGGAATTTCCAAAGGCGCTTTTTTTTTTTCTGGCTAATGAATTGAAACTACGTCGTTTTCGAGTGGTCTTTTTTTTTTCTTACTTGTGTTCGGCTCTGAGATTTATGTATAAGTGGATGATGGTCTCTTTAGATTCGATGGACTTTTCTTCTGAATGGTGTTTGGTTTTTTTTCCCGTAAATATAAGTTATTGTCAGTGGTGTTATTGTCTTTTCGACATAAGCTATTTTTTTTTTTTTTTTTTTTCCCTTTTATGCCCAAGTTGGTGAGTAACTTTTTTGGGTGTGTGGTTAATGACTTAATGTTGCGGAGTAACTTTAATTAGATGTCGTTTTCAAAATTTTATGCAAAATTTATTACTTTTTAATGTTTTATAAAATACGGAGGGAGTATGATATAGTGATATGTTTTATCAGTCGCAATTCCATATAATGATGATTCAGTTTATAGTTCAATATGATATATCTTGATTGGTTGTACAACCTTTTAAAATTTACTAGAGAGATGATCTACGCGTTATGCACACAAAGTAAAATACTATTAAAATATTTAATTATATTTAAAATTTTAATGTGTATGATATCATTTTTTTTTTTGAAAATAGGAAATTTATTAATGATAAAATCTTTGAAAAACACTAATGATAAAATTTATTTCAAAAACATTCATAACTGCACATTTCTACGTTTAAAGACTAAAGAAAAAAATTTCTGCAAAGTACAAGATAGATGATCACGTTATGCATGCAGCTAAAATATCATTAGAAGATTTGTATTACATCTGATCTAATCTAAGAATGCGGTTTTCATAAGATATCGTTTTCTTAGAAAAATTGGAATTATATTTAGTTTAGTTATGAGAAAACACTTATAATAAAGTTTGTAATTTTGTGACATAAATTTACTAAATTATCACTTTTAATTTCCATGTTTAGTTAGGAAATTTGTGTGCAAAAATACTCTCCAACATCATGCAAAACATAAGTGCTTTCTAAAGCTACATTTTTCCTAACAAGATTCTCCGTTGTCTCTTGTCTGAGTTGTCTCGTTTTTTAAAAAAAAAAATTCATTTGATCGGATCTCAACTACAAGAAAAGATTAAATTAACTTCCAACACACTTTGATCGAAAGATTTTTTGACATTTTTGCTACGTTTTGACGGTGTACTACAGTTTCGCATATGTCCAGCTTGCGTAAGACAAAGGTTTGATGGTTTTCGCTCGCTCGAAATTTTGTGAGATCGAATTATCGGTCCAAAATCGTCATCGTTGACACAACATAAAATTTAGGAGGACAAACAGGTTTCCATGTTTCGACAACTTGATCATGATAATAGGCAAAATGTTTCAACCATAAAGGGAGGAAACTTGTATTGCTTTCAAGGCGAAGCCCTAGAATTTACATGTTTAATGGAAAGTCAATAACTATATGTATATATGTATATATGGATTAATTTTATTTAAAACGGATCTAAATTCCATATTAATGACTTTCCCACAAATATCCTAATTTTACTTTAGAACGGCTCAATAAAATATATTACTCCCTCCGTTTTAATTTAGTTGTCGTTTTAGCACTTAAATTTTGTCACATAATAGTTGTCGTTTTAGATTTTCAATGCAGATGTTTTGTAAAAATTCCAGTTTTATCCTCACAATTTTAATGTCTTGACCAATAAAAAAATTTAGAGAATATATTGAACAAGGGTAATATAGAAAAATTAATTGCTTTCTTAATTCATGTGCAAAAACCTTAAACGACAAGTAATTCAAAACAGAGGGAGTACCATTTTAACTTTTTGAGTTTCTTTCTCGAACAATGAGAGCCAGTTACCCAAAAAAGTTTCCGGAACACGTTATATATTTTGGGTCTAAATTATTGGCATTCTTTTTTATTATTAGAAGATAAAGCATTTATATAAAATGGCAAAATTTATATCAAAGGTTTGAAAGTCTAAGCACTTAATGCATAACATCATTGATCAATAACGATAAATCTAATACATTACGTTAAAGCCTGAGAAACTTTTCCGCTTAATTGGTTTACTTGCAAAAAAGTTTCTACCAAGGAAATATTTAATCATGTGTTCATATGAAAGAGGTGTATAACTCGCTATAGTGAACACATAGAATTTGTTTGAAAAACGAATGATAGAAAGGATTACAAACATGTAAGAAGAAACCTTGACTTATCGAATATATATGATCAAAGATACAATACAACCAAATATTTTTTTGGATTACAAACATGTAAGAAGAAACCTTGACTTATCGAATATATATGATCAAAGATACAATACAACCAAATATTTTTTTGGATTACAAACATGTAAGAAGAAACCTTGACTTATCGAATATATATGATCAAAGATACAATACAACCAAATATTTTTTTGGTATAAAAATTATGATTAGTTGATTCTTAACATGTTTAAAACCTTTAATCATATTATAAAATCTGTAGACACACATATAAACTTTTTGAAAAACAAATGATAAAATTAAGTAATAAAAGACGTGCTATAGAAACACATAATTTTTTTCTTTTGGAAAACTAATGATAGAAAGGATTACCAACATGTAGGAAGAAATTTTTTTTTGGTAAGTACATGTAGGAAGAAACTTTATCAAATGGGTATGATAAAAAAAAGAAAATACAATCAAATCCTTTTGCTATAAAAATTATGATTACATGATTCAAGACATATTTAAAACCTCTAGTTACATAAATTTATACACTAAATATTTACAAAACAAATTAAAATCAAATCAAATTACCTAGTAAAAAAAATTCAAAAAGAAAAGGCAATCACATTTAAAGTATTTCCTAATTTGAAAAGACCCCGCCTATATCATAAAATGTTTCTGAGATCACAACAAAGCTCATATCCAAACACAACTCTTGTCTCTCTCAATAGAAAATATCTTTTGTTGTCTCCCACCTCCCCACCCAGGATATGGATTCTCCCGCTCCCCAGGGTTACAGCCGCAAGGACAAATCTCTCGGCGTTCTTGTCGCCAAGTATCTATCTCTCTCTTACGATTCTCCTGATTTTGATTTCCTTTTGTTTTTTCACGTTTCCGTTGAATTTATTATCTCTACTCTATTTATATTTTTATTTTCAGTTTCTTGATACTGTATAATCGTCCCGATGTTGATCTGATTGGGCTCGATGATGCCGCCGCGAAATTAGGTGATTTTTATTATTGTCTTCCCATTTATTTTTGGTTCGACTGGATTTTCGATAAATTATATTTATGCGTATTCAATTGATTTTAGAAGAAAAAGATAAAATTGTTATATCAGATTTCGGTAGATAAATAAAGCTTGATTTTGTTGATATCTGAAATTGTAGGCGTTGAACGTCGCCGTATTTATGATGTGGTGAATATATTGGAGAGTATTGGGGTAAATATTTGATGTTGATGATGATGTTTTATTTATTTACGCTCTTCGTATTTCGATTGATTTGAGGTGATTTCTTTTTAACGCAGCTTGTTGCAAGAAGTGGGAAGAATCAGTATTCGTGGAAAGGTTTTGGAGCAGTTCCTCGTGCTCTATGTGAACTCAAAGTACTTCAAAAACGATTCAATCTATATATGTTTTTTTTAGCTTTCTTCAGGATTGGTTTGATTGAGAAGGGTTTTTGAGTTTTGTCTCTTTTGTTTTACAGGAAGAAGGAATGAGAGAGAAGTTTGGGATCGTCCCTTATGTGACCAAGTCAGAGATGGTAATTTCATATTCAGATTTTGTGATTGTTGATTCTTTTGGTTGGATAGTTACTTAGTTGTGCTTATGATTCTGCCAAAACATCAATGAAACGAGATTCTTTATTTAAACAGGTCATTTATGAGAAAGAAAGAGAAGAAGCTTTCATGTTAACTCCTGATGATCAAGAGTTCTCACCATCTCCCAAACTTGGTAATGTCTCTTATGTTGGAACATTCTTAGGTTGGAGCATCATTGATGTCTTATGTTGGAGCATCATTGATTATAGGGAAGGACTAAGTATTACTCTAGGCATTTTCCTATTTAGTCCATTCATTTACTTTCAATCTAGAATCCGATGCGAATGAAAACTAGTTCTTGTTAGTGATTGTGCATAAGAATGATCTAGTAAGTAAAATTTTCCAGGATAGGATTCGTGTTGGAAGCTAACTTGGTAATATCTTATGTTGGAACATCATTGATTAGTGAAGGACTCAGTTTTACTCTAGGCATTTTCCTATTTAGTCCATTCATTTACTTTCAATCTAGAATCCGTTACGAATGAAAACAAGTTCCCGCTAGTGATTTTTGCATAAGAATGCTCTAGTCAGTGAAATTGTTCATGATAGGATTCGTGTTGGAAGCTAACTAGCCTAGCCTTTGTTTTTTTGCTATTTTTTAGACAACAAGAAGGAGAGAACTCTCTGGCTACTTGCACAGAACTTTGTGAAGCTGTTTTTATGCTCTGATGTAAGTGAATATGTGGTATGCCATCTCTCTAAACAAGTCTGACCAATGACCAATTAATTGACACCTCTCTTGTTGCTACTTTGATGTCAGGATGATCTGATAACATTCGATAGCGCTACAAAAGCATTGCTGATTGAGTCTCAGGATATGAATATGAGAAGTAATTCTAATTACTTCCCTTAAATCTTTTGTTCTCTGATTATTATTACATAACAGAAGCAATAACCAAACCCCATCTCTGTAAACTCTAAGCAGCTAAAGTTAGACGCCTTTACGACATTGCAAATGTGTTTTCCTCAATGAAGCTAATCGAGAAGGTACAGTAACTATATGAGCCTGTTCCTAAGATATTACAATAGGCACAATCTTGGACATTCCAATCTCTCATCTTCTTGTTTTTTTTTGTCTTTTGTGTTCATGCAGACTCATGTCCCAGAGACTAAGAAGCCGGCATATAGGTGGTTGGGGTCCAAAACCATTTTTGAAAACAGATTCCTTACTGGTTCTGCAAGCTTATGTGATCGTAATGTGCCTAAAAAGCGGGCATTTGGGACCGAACTCACAAACGTTAACGCAAAGAGAAATAAACCAGGTTGTTCTGAAGACAGCAAGCGTTATGGAAAACAAAACACAAACATTGTTATCAAGCAAGAACAATGTGATGTGAAACCGGACGTGAAGAACTTTGCCTATGGACCATCCACTCCTGCAGGCACTTGTGAGATGAATAATGTAGGAAACAACATTAGGCCAAGAGGTCGACTAGGAGAGATCGAAGCCCTTTCTACTCTATACCAACCACAGTATTGCAATCCTGGTAAAAAAACTACTTTCTTCTCTACTAATGTCACAGTTTTGCTTTCTATGAAATACTTTAGTTTCTTTCGTATATGTTTTCCTTATATCTATAATAATCTGTGGGGACTTTTTACAAATCAAAGTTTCTTTTGTGAACAGCGTTAATTAGTCTTTTTGAGCATTACCACCAGACATTTAGGTCATGTCAAGAAGAGTTTGGTCGGAAGAAATGACTTAATCAGGTAGATTAACTTGCGGGGCGTTACTTCAGTTCTCTAATCAAAAGCCAAATTTCTATTGCTCTTTTGCGTCATAAACTACAGAAAAACTCTTACTATAGAGATTATTATTACTTGCAAATGAGAGCATTATCTTTTGTTTTTTTTGGAGAAGGAAAAAAAAATAAAACTTAAAAGTAGCTAACCGTTTAGTTTTCTAGCGTTTCTTAATTGTTACAAATGGATAACATTTCAGTTCTATTATATAAGTTCAAACTTTAATCTGTTAATGCTTTTGTAGTTTGGTATGGTTCGATGTTTATCCTAGGCTAAGAGACTGTCGTAATGGTAACGGCTGAATTGGCTAGAAACTACAATAATGCAAAAATCATTTTGAGGGGAGTATAAAAAGTAAACTCTTTTAAACTTGAAGAAGCTATTACTCCATTAACTAGCTAAACTATCAAATACTATTTCTTTCTGTTTTTTCATATTTTTATTTCCAATGATTTCATTATTGTTCGCAGTTATTTTATCAGATTGATTTTTTAACGAGTTACCATGTAAAAAATATCTCAAAAGTAAAATAATTTTTTATTTTTAGTTTACTTTATTTCTGAAATCTATTACGTATAGTTCAGAAAAAAAGTAAACTAAAAATAAAAAATTATTTTACTTTTGAGATATTTTTTTTGTTGGTTTTCGATGGGACTCTAGAAAGTTCTATAGTAGTCGGAGTAGAAATCTTCTTACAAGAGTCAGTTTCTTGATTAACCCGTAATAAAGGGATGAGTTTCTAAAACTCGACCAAACACAAGAAAAGAACAAAACCTTGGCTTAGTGGGCTCAGATAAATAAAACGAACGAAGGAAGATTTTTCTTAACAAATAAATTCATAATTATCAAAAATATTTAAGGAAACAATTAAAAAACAAAAAGATTCTTCTTCCAATACCCAACGCATATTACGCAGCCACACAGCGGAGAGAAGAAGAGACAGAAACAGAGCTCGAGACTCTCTCTTATTAATGGCGGCCGCATCAGCACGAGCCTTCTTCATGCTCTCTCGTGTAACGGACCTATCAAAGAAGAAGCTAATCCTTCACCAACCACCACCGTCGTCATCTCCTCACCGGTTACCTTGTGCTCCGAATCGTGCGGTGTCTTCCTCCACTGTAATTAGCTGTCTCAGCGGTGGTGGAGTTTCCTCCGACGATTCATATGTATCTACTCGTCGGTCTAAGTTAGATCGAGGTTTCGCTGTGATCGCGAATTTGGTGAATCGGATCCAGCCGCTTGATACGTCTGTTATCTCTAAAGGCTTATCCGATTCAGCTAAGGATTCGATGAAGCAGACGATTTCTTCTATGCTTGGACTTCTTCCTTCCGATCAATTCTCCGTTTCCGTTACCATCTCCGAGAAGCCTCTTTATCGTCTCCTTATTTCTTCCATCATCACCGGGTAAGTAAAATCAACCATCCGGATTTTGAATCTCTCTAATGGGAATTTTGTTGGAACACTGTGTGTGAATTTAGGGATTTTGTGGTTTTAGGTATACATTGTGGAATGCGGAGTATCGTGTATCACTGAGGAGGAATTTCGATATACCGATTGATCCTAGAAAGGAGGAGGAGGATCAATCTTCCAAAGACAATGTTAGATTTGGTTCAGAGAAGGGAGTGAGTGAGGATTTAGGGAATTGTGTTGAGGAGTTAGAGAGATTGAGTCCTCAGGTGTTTGGAGACTTGTCACCTGAAGCGTTGAGTTATATTCAGCATTTGCAGTCTGAGTTATCTTCCATGAAAGAGGTAATGTCAAAAGACTCAAATTAGTGCATTGGTCAAGACTGATTCTGTTCCCATGAAAGATGGTTTATGTCTGGTTTTGTTCTTAATGTATATTTCAGGAGCTAGATTCACAAAAGAAGAAAGCTTTACGGATAGAATGTGAGAAAGGAAACAAGAATGATTTGTTGGATTATTTGCGTTCCTTAGATCCCGAGATGGTACTGGATGTTGAGGTTTCTTTGATTCTTATTCTCATTCTCAAGTGTCAAGTCTGATGACTAAGAATCATATTGACAGGTGACTGAGTTATCTCAACTTTCTTCACCGGAAGTGGAAGAGATCGTGAACCAACTTGTCCAAAACGTATTAGAGAGGCTCTTCGAAGACCAGACCACTTCAAATTTCATGCAAAATCCTGGCATAAGGACTACAGAAGGTGGTGATGGAACTGGTAGAAAGGTAGACACATCCAGGGATTACCTTGCAAAGCTCCTTTTCTGGTAAATCTTTTAACTCCTCTTATGCGTAAATAATTAGAACAGAGCTTGTTAATCTAACCGAATCGCTGGTCCGTTTCATCTCAGGTGCATGCTATTGGGACATCATTTAAGAGGTTTGGAGAATAGATTACATCTCAGCTGTGTTGTTGGGTTGCTGTAATATCAGAGAATCAGAAAAAGGAGACAGAAAAAGAAAGAAACACCAATGTATATTCTTCTCCCCCATTTTGATTTCTTTAATCTAAGCGTTAAGTTATTATCTATCAATTCCCCCATGCAAATTTCCACCTCTTTGAGTTCTTCTAATTAGCTTTAAATGTCCAGATAGTGTTAGCTAATCAAAGTTTATTAACAAAGGAAAATAAGAATCACTAGTAAGTAGAATGGATCGATAAAAGCATACTTAGATCATGCCTTCCTTCTTTCAAGTAGGTGGTTTGAGTATTTAGTCTAATTTCTCACGTGTACCCACTTCACCAAACCACCCATCATGATAAATTACACAAGGGTGGTCAATTTTTATTTATTTTTCAGAAGAATAGTGATTAACCAAAGTAATTTTAAATCTGAAAACGTGTTTAGTTTAAATTGTTATTTTAATCAAATATCGTTATAGGAGTTTGGTTTCTTAATTCCGTCTGGTTTATATGGATAGAAGTCTAACATATGATACAAAAAGGTAGGTGAGTTTTGTTTGATTTATTTTGTTTCTTAATAAATTTAGGTAGAAGAACTTTAGAACAGAAAACAAAAAGAAGAAGAAATTCTTATGAACACGAAACCAACCGAAAAAACAGCAGTAGGTAAGTAAACTTAGCATGTCACACAAGAAGCATTGCAGTCTTTTACTTCAAATATACGAATTTAAAGACCTCTTTAACGGTACTACTAAAAGATGGGACTCCATCCAGTCTCAGAGGCCAACGCCTCAAGCCCCTTCGGTTCTCTCTCTGCCGCCGAATTTTACTCCCGCCACTCCGTCGCCCATTCCTCCGCCTTTGTCACCAACCCAACCGGCCTCAAACTCTTTACCCAATGCTGGACTCCACTCAACCGTCCACCACTCGGCCTCATTGCTGTTGTTCACGGCTTCACCGGAGAATCCAGCTGGTTCCTTCAACTAACATCCGTACTCTTCGCCAAATCCGGATACCTCACTTGCGCCATCGACCACCAAGGCCACGGCTTCTCAGACGGTTTAACTGCTCACATCCCAAACATCAACCTTATTGTCGATGACTGCATCTCCTTTTTCGACGACTTCCGTAAGCGTCACGCTTCCTTCTCATCTCTCCCGTCCTTCCTCTACTCTGAATCCCTCGGTGGCGCAATCGCTCTCTACATTACCCTCCGCCAGAAACACCAATGGAACGGTCTTATCCTCAGCGGCGCAATGTGCTCGATCAGCCACAAATTCAAACCTCCCTGGCCGTTACAACACCTCTTAACCCTAGCAGCTACTCTCATCCCCACCTGGCGCGTCGTCCCCACCCGCGGCACCATCGCTGGCGTCTCTTTCAAGGAGCCATGGAAACGGAAACTCGCCTATGCTAACCCAAACAGAACCGTCGGTAAACCACGAGCCGCCACGGCCTACGAGCTCGTACGAGTCTGCGAGGATCTTCAAAGCAGGTTTGAAGAAGTTGAAGTCCCATTGATGATTGTACACGGTGGAGATGACGTCGTCTGTGATCCAGCCTCCGTCGAGGAGCTTTATCGGAGATGCAGTAGCAGAGACAAGACAATAAAGATTTATCCAGGGATGTGGCATCAGCTAATAGGAGAGTCGGAGGAGAACGTCGACTTGGTGTTCGGTGATGTTTTGGATTGGATTATGAAACGATCTGAAATCTCCACCATTGATGGTGGAACCAAAGCCTAAAGTTTGCATATATAATAAATAAATAATCAAAATTCAAATTTTATATTAGTAAACAAATCCGAGAGTTTTGTACTTGAGATCCTCAAGAATAGGTCAACTAAAATCCCAAATTCTAAAGAAATATTGTTAACAAAAGATGAGAATAAGTTTTAATCTCTTGGTGATGCCATTTAGAGAAAAATGAAAGATATAATGAAGGAAGTGGAAGGGAAAGTGAAGTTTTCAATGGCGGATTCGACGATGATGTTACTTGTTCAACAAGCAATGGACAAAGCCCATGAAAAGATCAAAACCAAACACGGTCTTCTCCTCCGTCTCAATGCCATATCTATTTTCTACGAGCTAGCTGTGATACAGCTCGAGAGCTGTCTTAGTTTTGTTCAACAAGAGACCGATAAACTAGAGAGTAACCACGAGGAAGTGGTTAGGGATCTGAGAGAGATTAAAGACAGACTTCACCACCGTCTCTTAGAGACCGAATTAGCCATTCTTGAGAAAGACAGACAGTTGTTAGAGATGTCTGAGAACCAAGAGTCTCTGAGAAACGTGTTGGAGAGTAAAGAAACAGAGTTGGTTCATTTGCAAGATCTTGAGAGGAAGAGATTTCATAGTAAGATTGGGGATTTTATTAAGGAAGATGAGTTTTCGGAGCTGAAGAGCTCTGTTGATCAACAAGTGATGAATCTTAGACAAAAGCTTGAGACAGAGTACGATGAATTGGGAGGAGAAACAGAGGATCCTTCAGGGGTTGATATTGATGTTTTGAAAGGGACAATGGATCTTGCTTTCAACAAGATGCATCACGCGATATTCTTGTCGGAATTGGGTCCTATTGAGCAGAGTTGGAGATGGTCTATAGAGAGAGATTCAATGGCGTTACTGATAAAAGGTTTCATGAATGGTTTAGAGGAGAAGATGGAGAAGGTAATGATGGTTGTAAGAGATTATGAATCGGGTTTTAAAGATCGGGTTTGTTCGATTCGTAGAGAAGTAGAGTGTTTAGAATCTCAGTTTGATCAGATCATCGTCCATAGATCATCATCTCCTAGATCATGTGTAGCAACAACAGCAACAATATCATCATCATCTTCAATAGATTATGAAATTAGTGATGATAAAGAAGCAAAAGAAGATGGAGAGGAAGAACAAGATTCGAGCAATTTCCCTGTTTCAAAGTTGATAAAGAGTCATGAATCAATCATTAGGAGGAAAAGCGAAGAGCTTGCTCCTCCTAAGATCGAGTCTATTAAACGACAGAAGAGCTGCAACAGCTCTAGCTCGAAGCGAGCTATTGATGATATTGTTGCAGGTCTTGATGGTTTGATGAGTCTTAACACTAAGCTATTCGAACATTTGTTTGATGATGATGATGGCGATAGACATAAGCATGATCAGGAAGTAGTAATGGATGACAATTTGGATGATGTTTGGATGAAAATGCAGAAGAATAGATCGGTGTTTTCAGACAATGCAATAGAGGAGAAAGAAGATGCACAGATGAAATTAATGATATTGGAGGATACTTACTTGACTTTGCTCAAAGGTGTAAAAGAAGATGAGATCACAAACAATAGAAAAGCGGAAGAAGAAGAAGAGATCAAGAGGGAAAAGATCGAACCCACGATTAAATGTATGGATTGTTTAGAGAATTTGAACTGGGAGAAAGATTATAAGATTCTTCTTGAAGATGAAGAATTCAGACAAGAACTAAATTGGATTATTGTAACAGAGTTGTTAAGAGAAGTTTCAGAGACTGTGGAGAATCATGAAAAGATTGAAGCAAATAATAAACGAGTGATTGAGGAAGAAGTAAACAGAGCCTGCTTGGAAGTTTCTTTACTCTACGATGAGTTTGATTTCAAGATTCAAGAGAAGTTAAAGATGGTAACTTTGAGGTGAGTAGAAAAAGGGTTCTTGAAAAAACAAATCAAAACCTTTTTGTTGAATCTTAACTAATGATCTTTTGTTTCTTTTTTGAGGTTACAAAACTTGGAGATAAAGATTGATTCAACGATGGATTTTATCGCAGAGTTAACGCAAAAAGAATCAGTTTATAGAAGAGCTTTTGTTCTTGGGTCTGAGAATCTAAGAAAGGCAGAAACTGAGGTAAAATAGTTTGTGATTTCATTTTTTAATTGTGAGAACTTTTAATGAGTAATATGAAACTGAGAAAAATTGCAGGTTGATCTTCTTGGAGATCAAGTTGATTCGCTTGTGAAGACTCTCCAGAAAATACTTTGGACATTGCATCAACATCCATTGCTTCTCTCCAATAACTCAGATGTAAGTTAACCTCTCTTATTTTTAAGTAGATTGTTTCAGAAGTAAGTGAGTTTTATTTAGAAAAAAATCTGTATTTTCTTGTGGCTTTTTTCAGATATCGGAGATCTCAAAGATGATCAAGAGAGAGTTATCATCTGAGGATTCATAGAACCAATATAGTTTTTTTTTCTTTTTCTTTTGGGAAATCCCTTTTTCTGTCACTTAAATGTTTCAAAATTTCCCAAATCCAATTCCACTACAACCCTTCTTTTTTTTTCATTAAATTTTTTAATATAAATTTATGAAAGTCAACTTCATTTATGTATATGGTTTCTAAAAATCTGTAAAGAAACTTTAATTTTATTACTAAAATCTTGTTGTATTGAAAACAATAAGTATGTTTGTTATACATTTGTAACATGACTAGTAAAAATTACATGACTCATCAATATTCTCTTATTTAGTCCAAGTCACCATTTTCTATAAGAACCCTAAACCCCATTTTTTCCACTTCTCAGACACACACTACAGAATCTTAAAAAAACTTGTCCAATTTCAGGAAAACAAACTCAGAAATGGAAACGAAACAGATCAAAGTGATGTTCTTCATTTTATCAGTGATCATGGCGTTGCTTTGTCATCATCAATCCGAAGCTCAAGCGCCGCGGAAACCAAGTCCCGATGATTGCTTCTCGTCGATAAAGAAGGTTCAAGGTTGTGTGGATGCTGTGAAAGCTGCCACTAAAGGAGATTTTAAAGGTTTGGGTAAGGATTGTTGCCACGCCATCAATGGCCTCGTCGACGATTGTTTCCCGATCATTTTCCCCGGAAAACCATACATTGTAGCACCCGTTAAGGATGCATGTGTTGTTAATTAATTATTAGACCAAATACTTGTTTCCTTGTAACGCAAGACACTCTGCGTATGGGTATACGGTATACCTTATTTCCTAAGAAACTATTATATAAATCAATAAAATTGCTGTTTGATTTTCTCACTTCCCAAAATCAATACGACAATCTAGTCAATGCATGCACTAAACACGTTTTCAACATCCAAAAATCCTCCAACAAATATCAAACTCAATTCTTTGAGATGAGAAGCAGATCAAAAAATGAGAAGACATTTAAGTGTGTTCTTTGAGATGCTCACACATTTTGGTTCTCAAGGCTTGAAGTGTTCTCTGATGAACTCTTGTACCTGATCTGTTTCTCCTGTTAGTCCAGATGACTCAGCGAGGGTGACTTTGTTTTGGCAATGCGAAAAGGAAAACACTTCTCCTTTAATCCCGAGAGTGAAGTCATTCGCTGTTGATATTGCGCTCCTCGAAACCCTAAGTTTCTCTCTGCGAAACACACACATTAACAAAAGGAAATATCATTGAGAGCTTATTATCTTCAGGATTTAGAAACAGATAAAAATAAATCAATCTCACATTTGTTTCTCCATCTGCTTGCTGATGAAATCTTTGGTGTATGCAGTTAATTTATCTGTCTTGTTACAGCAAAGCAGAACCGGGATCTTATTTGTAACAGCGCTCGCATTGGTCAGAATGTCGTAAAGGTACCTGGAGAAGTACAAACCATCTTTAAGTGTTCTAAGAATAACTAATACCTAAGCAAATCATCTCTTATTTGGTAATTGATAAATTACTCTGAAGCTGCCCGAAAATTTGGGAGAAAATCCATCGCATCTACGACAAACACAAGAGCGGTTGCTAGAGGCAAGTATTCTTCTAGCTTAGGAGAGCGCCCAGGAACATCCAAAAGATGAACAGGTTTTGTTATTCCACTCTGTTTAAACACATGGCAATGTATGTTTAGTCCATAAAACACTACATTCTTGAATAAACAAAACCAAAATGAAGATCTTTCTCTACCATAGTGAGTTTAGTGTGAAGCACAGAGGTGCCTTCGTTCGGTTCCATTGACGTTACAACGCCCCGATGCGAAGATCTATCTCGGAGCTGTCACAAACACAAAATGTTAATAAAACCATCTTAAAAATGACACAACATTCACCTAGTCGTAAAGTAAAAAGCATTCTTCGAAACCCTAAATACTCACTCGATTGAAGAGCACTGTTTTGCCACTTCCGCTTAAACCAGAGAAGAGTACTATATTGGTTTTCTTAGGTCTGAACAAGCGATCTACAAAATGCAACTACTTACCAAATCTCATACAGAATTAGGAAATCATCAATGTGTGAGGATGGTGTCTAATACTTACCAAAAAATAGCATAATGATCGCTAGAAATAGAACATAAGTGGCATTAAAAAGTTTAGTCGTCTCTTTTGATTGAACAAACTCAATTCCTTGGTGCAACCATTGCTTCGCCAGAGTTTGCAAGTCCTCCATTTTCTTTATTTCTCTGCTCGATCAAAGCGCAACATTTTGTTTCTATCAATCAACAAAGCAACACAACACCTAACAAGATATAAACTTCTTCAAGGGAATAATGAATAAGTAAACCAATTCTCAGTTTCTTTTAGGCATTTTAACAAATAAGATATTGTGCAATCTATAAAGTTTCCACATAAGAACAATTCACCGATCAAAGAGAAAATTGAGTCCGTCGACCAAGAAAATTAGTTCCAAAACTATAATTCTAAATTGAAGGACAAATCTTCGAAATACTTACAAGAATAAAGTGAAGAGCGACGTCGACGCAAACGGAGCCACCAGACGCCGGTCACTAACACCAACGAAGATCTAAATACATTTAAAACGTTTTGGGGTTACAAAAAAAAAAAAGATAAATGGGCTGAGAAAGTAAATAGGCTGAAGAAACCTAATGGGCCAAACAAATTAAATAGGAAAAAAGAAGCCCATGTTTGAAATAACCTCAGCTTCTTCACTCTCTGATTTTTTCTTATTTTACAGTCTCTTCTTCGGCTTTAAAGCGGTGATGTTCTTCAAATTGAGGAACTTGTCGGTTTCATAAATCATCGATTGGGTATTACAAAACGTGGCCAAAGTGTAGAAATTTGGTCTGTAGAATCACCAAAGACTTGTGATCGCTTGTGATTACCTTGCAAAGCTCTTTTTCTTGTAAGTCGTTTAAAGTTGGTAACTTTCAGGTGAGTAGAAAAGGGCTATTTATAAGAACAACGATCTTTTGTTTCTTTTCTGAGGTTACATAAATTGAAGATAATTATTGATTCAACGATATATTTTATCGCAGAGTTAAGGCGAAAAGAATCAGTTTATAGAACATCTTTTGTTCTTAGGTCTGAGAATCTCAGGAAGGCGGAGACTGAGGTAAAACAGTTTGTGATTTCATTCTTAATTGTGAGATTTTTTAATGAACCATATGAAACTTAGAAAATTTACAAGTTGATCTGCTTGGAGATCAAGTTGATTCGCTTGCATGTAAAGCTTCTATGCAATAACTCAGATGTAAGTTAACCTCACTGTTTTTAAGTCTAGGTAGAAAAATCTGTATTCCCTGTTGAGTTTTTTTTATTTCCAAAAACATAACATGCAATAACTCAGATGTAAAAGTTAACTTCTCTATTTTTTTCATGAAACCAATAAATCTTTTTTTTGGAATTTCCCTTTATAGGGCCTGATTGGCAAGTGCTTTAGAGTCTTTACAAAGCAAAAAAATTTCTAAAGCATTGAAATAGATCCAATCAAGCTTTAGAAGCTTTAGCTTTCCTTTTTTTTCTCACAGCCAAAATATTTCCATAATTAATTTTTTTGGCTGTAGAAAGCCTTTTTTTCTAAAACATACAATTTTCAACTTTCCAAAATTTTAAATGTTACAGCAAAAATACTACAGCACTAAAATCTACAGTCACAGCCAAAACATCTACAGCCTAAAATCTACAGTCAAAAATCTACAGCTACAGCCGGAACCAATCAGGCCCATAGTGTTTCAAAATCTCCAAAATCCAATTGTACTACAACCATTCTTTTCCTCTCTTTTTTCATACATTTTTTAATATAAATTTATGAAAGTCAACTTCAATTTATAAAATTCCTAAATTTTCTGTAAGACACTTTCAATTTATTACCAAAATATTTTTGTATTGAAAACAATAAATATGCTTACCAAATGTTTGTTATTCAAATGTAGCAATTAAATGACTTACCAAAATTCTCATATTTAGTCCAAGTCCATTTTCTATAAGAACCCTAAAACTTCTTTTTCCACTTCTCAGACACCCTACAAGATCTAAAAAAAAAAAATCTGTCCAATTCCAGAAAACAAAAATGGGAACAAAACAAATGTTCTTCTTTTTATGTGTGATCATGGCGTTGCTTTGTAATCATCAATCCGAAGCTCAAGCGCCGATACCAAATCCCGGTGATTGCTTCTCGTCAATAAAGAAGGTTAAAGGTTGTGTGGATGCTGTGAAAGCTGCCACTAAAGGAGATCTCAAAGGTTTGGGCAAGGATTGTTGCCACGCCATCAATGGCCTCGTCAACCATTGTTTTCTGATCCTCTTCCCCGGAAAACCATACATTGCACTACGGGTTAAGCATGCATGTTATGGTAATTAATTATTAGATCAAAAATACTTGTTTCCTTGTAACACAAGACACTCGCGTTTGGGTATTCCTTTTTTCCTAAGGAAAAATTAATAAATCAATAAAAGTGTTGTATGATTTTCTCACTTACCAAAATGCAAAATCGATAAAATCTGGTCAATGCATATGCACTAAACAAGTTTTCAATATCCAAAAAATCCTCCAAACATCTTAATTCTCAAATTATAGTAAAGTCATGTATAAAAAAATTAATAAAGAGAAGCCCACACGAGTCCTCTAGTGGTTATAATTAATGAGCTACTCAAATTCAATTTATCCTAGAAACTACTCCACAAATATGATGTCATGGTTTTTCATATCGCTCTCTCTGGCCTGAGATTAGTCGGGTCTCATGGCCCATTGATCCGAGAACTAGCTAGGAAAAAAAGTTCTCGCGGCATGGTTTGGAATTTATGGTGTCTGTTGAACTGTATCACCCGAATTATCGATAAAGGAGGAGAGAAATACCCTCAGCACTATTAAGTTTCAGCTATTTGTTTTTGTTGCAAAAATAAAAGGATTGAAGTTACAACACCCTCCTGCTGCGAAGAATCATCTTGGAGCTATCACAAATACAAAATGTAAATAAAACCATCTTAAAATATATGACACAAACACGGCCCCGGCCCAAAAGTTTTAAATGCCTGAAAAAATAGCTGAAGAAACTTAATGGGCCAACAAAATTAAATAGGAAAAAAGAAGCCCATTTGTGAATAACCTCAGCTTCAACTTCATTCACTCTCTGATTCTTCTCGTACAGTCTCTCTTCAAGTTAACAACTTGTCGGATTTGATAACCTGTGATTTCTCTGGTTCTGTTACTGTTCTTGAAATGAGAGGAATTGTTCTGATTAGATCAAGGCTATCAATCTTTAGGGCTCCTGCATTCAATTGTTTAAGATCTAGTAATGTTTTGCTCAGTTTGAGCAATACATCTATTGTTCGACCGTATTTGGAACCTCCCATAGCTTGTGTGCTTCCTTTAGGTCTGTGTTCTATGTTCTCTACTTCCATAGCTGATTCAGAGCAAGTGGGATTTACTCGGAGTAACATTGAGAAGGATGATGAAAGTGAGGAAGAGATTGACATTGATCTTAGTTGTATTGTAAGTGATGAGGTTGTTTCAAAGGATGTTGGGACGATTGTGAAGCTGTTGAAAGATTGTGGGAGTGACCGGAAGGAACTGAGGAACAAGCTTGAGGAATGTGATGTGAAGCCATCAAATGAATTGGTGGTGGAGATTCTTTCTCAAGCTCGTAATGATTGGGAAACTGCTTTCACTTTCTTTGTTTGGGCAGGGAAGCAGCAAGGTTATGTTCGTTCGGTTCGTGAGTATCACTCTATGATCTCGATTCTTGGTAAAATGAGGAAGTTTGATACAGCTTGGACTTTGATTGATGAGATGAGAAAGTTTAGCCCTTCTCTTGTGAACTCACAGACACTTTTGATCATGATTAGGAAGTATTGTGCGGTTCATGATGTTGGGAAAGCGATAAACACGTTCCACGCCTACAAAAGATTCAAACTTGAAATGGGGATTGATGATTTTCAGAGTTTGCTCTCTGCTCTTTGTAGGTATAAGAATGTTTCTGATGCCGAGCATTTGATCTTTTGTAATAAGGATACGTATCCATTTGATGCCAAAAGTTTCAACATAGTTCTCAATGGATGGTGTAACGTGATTGGTAGCCCACGGGAGGCTGAACGAGTCTGGATGGAAATGGGAAATGTCGGAGTCAAACATGATGTTGTGTCTTATTCAAGCATGATATCTTGCTATTCGAAAGGTGGTAGCTTGAATAAGGTTCTCAAACTTTTTGATCGGATGAAGAAAGAGTCTATAGAGCCAGATAGAAAAGTGTACAACGCGGTGATTCACGCTCTTGCCAAAGCTAGTTTTGTCTCCGAGGCGAGGAATTTGATGAAGACAATGGAGGAGGAGAAAGGGATGGAGCCAAATGTTGTTACTTACAACTCTCTCATCAAACCTCTATGCAAGGCTAGAAAAACTGAAGAGGCTAAACAGGTTTTCGATGAGATGCTGGAGAAAGGACTCTTCCCAACAATCCGTACATACCATGCGTTTATGCGGATTCTAAGAACGGGAGAAGAGGTGTTTGAGCTATTAGCTAAAATGAGAAAGATGGGTTGTCAACCAACTGTGGATACATACATAATGCTGATCCGTAAGTTATGTAGGTGGCGCGATTTTGATAATGTGTTATTGTTGTGGAATGAGATGAAGGAAAAGGGCGTTGGTCCAGACCTTAGTTCATACATTGTGATGATACATGGTCTGTTCTTAAATGGTAAGATAGAAGAAGCATATGGGTACTATAAAGAGATGAAGGAAAAGGGTATGAGACCAAATGAAAATGTTGAAGGTATGATTCAAAGCTGGTTTTCAGGAAAACAATATGCAGAGCAGCGGGTAATAGATTCGAAAGGGGAAGTTTCAGGAGTCGATAAAGGAGGTATTGTAAAAAAATCTGAAAGAGAAAAGAACTTTCTCCAGCAGCCTGAGGTGAGAAAGGTTGTGAGAGGACATGGATATTCGTTTTGGGATGAATAGAAAAAGCTAGAGGTCAAGAAGAATCGTAGGTAGGAGAACCATCTTGAAGAGCTTTGACCAGATTAGTTAGTTCTGGTTAGGTTTTGATTATAACAGGTTAATTTTGCACTGAGGAGAGATATGGTTAGTGTTCTTGAGGAAAATTCGAAAGAGAGAGATTATATACAATAGTTTTAAAATCATATTTATATAAGAAGAAAAATCTCTCTTTTGAATTTTGAAACTGTCTATGTAGATACAAACGAAGAGCATAACCATGTATGTGTTTCCAATATTTACAAACATACATTTTTTTTCAAGCCTAAAATTAGAAAATACACACTACTGTGCAAGGATAGGGAAGGTTGCAGAGAGAACTTGGTCCGACCTTAGTGTGTTGAAGTAAAGAGAAGATGAAAGTTTTGCGTGTTCTTGTTTGCTGTCATCTTGAAGCTGAGAGAAATTTGTGGAATCTTTCTATTCTATTCTGTGATAATTTATCCACTGACAAGTTGTTGCTCTTCTTTTGTTTCTTCTTCCTGTAGAAGAAATCCTCTGTGTCCAAAACATACGAAATCTACAACACGAGATGTTATGAATCACATAAGAGCTTGATTTTGTAAACAAGAAACTCTGTACCCGTATGGTTGAAGACCAGTAATCTATAGTTACCTTGTAGGAAGAGCAAGACATCTTGCACTCAAGGCCATTAATTACTTGTACGCCCTCCATGGCCTTGCAAGCTACTGCAAGATCATCCAGACCAGTGTATCCACGCATGTTCCTGCACACACAAAAAATACTTGAATTTTTATGTGTTTAGAGTAAGGTGTGAAAGCTACTGAAACTCAATATACCTTTGTAACACAATGTCCTGTAGCTCTTTTTTCCCTGATGAGTTGGAGAGGAACTCATTTTGCAAATAACTCGCAAACGTGGGTTCCATGGAAACTGCATAGGCCTCGGGCTTTTCAATTATGTTATCCATAAGCTGGATTGACAAACGAGATGGAGAGGAAGACTGCGTATATGAAAGAACAAAAAAAATAGTTGCGGGGTCAATGAATCATCACTAATCCTCAATGAAGAGATAGGAGAAAGGTGAGAATTGGTTTAGGGTTCTTACACATTCCAACCGATAAATATTTTCCTCATGAAGGAGGATCCTAGCGTTATCATAATATACCGAATCAACTACCCTCCCAGGTCTCCGGGAATTCTCATACTCATACAACTGAAGAAGCTTATTGTCCATATCGTCAGCTACGACAGCTTGAAGCTGCAACAGATGGAACGAAGTCAGATTTAAAAAGGATTATAATGTCTGAAAAGTAAACATGATCAACGTAAAACCAATAAAGCGAGTGAATGTTACCTGTTTAACCAATTTGTATATCAGTTTTTCCAAGGTGAATAAAACATATGACTGGTTTCCAATAATAGCTCGGCATTCATCCTCAAACTTGGAATTTTCAGCTGAGCCATTAAGCAGACTAAACAGAGCATTCATAAACCTACAGAACATACAGATACGAGGGTTTATGAATTCTTTTTACTGAAGTGAACAAAAAACCTGCCTAGTCTACATAGAAGCAATGGACCAATTGTATATCTACATTGATTCGGTTAAGGAATGTACCTTGCATAAGGATCTGGTGAACTAGTATCTTTTGTGTTTCTCCGTTTCATTTCACCGCCGGAGCAATATGTTTTTGCAGACAGAATTCTCTCGTACAGGATCTGGAAACAAAACCCAGTTAAAAAGTTACTAAATCTTTTTAAAGGTAAAAAATACTTTTTCAGATTTAACGTGAGAAAGCAAATCATCAGAAACGATTGCACTCACTCGATGAAGCCTGAAAAGAACATAAAAGTCGTCATTCCCGTAGAAAACTCTGGAATCTTTTTTGTTCTCATCAAGCAAAGCCGCTGCAGCTACATGCTTTGAAAGAGGCTTAACTGATAATAGAACACGTTCTGATGATGGAAACAACCCTTTGTCTTCTATAAGATGTGACTCCATTCCCTCTGCCTCTCCTTCACTTTCAGCTTTACCATCAATCTCATCATGCTCACCCTCTTCCTCCACGCCATTATCGTCCTGTGAACATTCGTCACCAATAGATTCAGTTCCCGAAGCATCCTCACCAGCTTCTGAAGCATCATCACCATCCTCATCGTCAGCGTCCTCATCATTTTCTCCTTCAGCTTCAACTGAATGTTCTGGTTTGGCAGTATCCTTCAAACCACGATCGTCATAAACAACAAAGTTGTCTTCAGAATCACCAACAGGTGATAATTCACCTTCCTCCTTCTCAATTTTGGATGGACCACCAGATTCATCATAATTACTGTTGGCTTTAGAAGTATCTGAGTGCACACCATTTGCTAAGACTATAGTTCTGCCTATATCAACTCCCTAGAGAAAAGGTCAGGAACAGTGAGAATGGTCAGAAGAGTCCACAAAAAGCAGAAAAGACAAATCAGAACATATAATTAAAATGTAAAACTGAATACAGTACCTGCGTACGTTGAATGCTATCAACTTTATCTATAGCTTCACTTGGTTTGGATAAAATTCCCCGTGAACCTTGAAAATAAAAGTAAAGCACTGACACGTTAAGGAAGGTATTACACACAAACTGAAGAAAACAAAAAAGTTCAATCCTGAAAATACCTGACGAATCTCTGCTTCCTACTTTACCATTATTGTTTTCGACCCCACTTGGGAAAGATGCACTTGACGCGGCCACTATTTCATCAACATCACTGGATCTTTTATCGGCTCCATTTCCAATTTCTTGATCTTTTTGGGGTTTTTCAGCACAGGTGGCAACATCTTTATTAGACGAATCACCATCCTTACAATTTTCTTTCCCTGAAGAATCCCTATTCAAAATACCAGTCCCACCATGTTTGGAGACCCCAGATGAAGCATGCTCATCTCCATTGGTAGCAAATTTTGGTTGCCTGGAAACCAAACTAATCGCGTCAGAACTCACATTAGCCTCCCCGCTGGTAAATGCACTGTGATGCTTGGTTTCTACAACATCTTCAACAGAATCTGATCCCTTGGCCCTAGGTGCAACACCAAGCATCAGCTCCAAAAAATTAGCCCAGAGCCTCAGAACTTTACCAATCTGCTCTTTTGTAGAACATATCTCCTCACAAGAAAACTGGACTAGTTTGAACAGGTCTTCATGAATAGTTCTGTCGAGATATTCATACTCGAGGTGAGGAATTATCGGTTGTCTGTAACCAGCAGAAATAGACAGAACAACATCGTCTTCTTTCTGAGACTTCTCTTTTAAGTCCTTGATTTCAGACACCAGCGCTGGTATTTAACCAACAAAAAAAGAAAAAGACTTATGAGAACAAATAAGTAAATGCAAGATAGATCCATAACAGATGATTATAAGCAATTCAAGGTAAGGACAAGTCCGCTGATGGACTGAGCACGTTCCAAGACTTTACTTACCTTTTGCACTCAAATTCTTAGAATCTTGCTGCTTAAAATAGAAGCTGCGGTGATCAAGTGATTTGTAATGGTTTTTCGCATACACATCCGCCCAGACCACATTAAAACCTTCACGACATTTTGTCCATTCATCTTGTTTCTGCTTCAATCGAGTTAGAATTACAGGAAGTGCAGCAGCTGGATTCTTACGTATTAAGTCTGTCACGTCAAGACCATGGTCTCCATAAAGTCTCTCTATGCACCTTAAATTTAGTGCTGTATTAAGCCAATAAGAAAATGGCAAGTGTAAGTCTAAAAGATGATGGCTTTAAGATATGGCAAGGGAGGTGGAACAGAGAGCACTACAATCACTAATATAGGTCGCTGGTAAACAAATGCCCACAGACCTGTGAAATGGTCTTCAATCCGGAAGGAGCCCTCAAAACTTATTTTCTTCTCAATGATAATATTCAACAATTCTTCTGCACTTTTGGCAGCAGATCCCACCGATTCCAACAGCATGTCCAACTCAAATCTGTAACAAGAAGCAAGTAAACAATCTTAACATACAAATTACTTAAAGACTACAAAAGCTATCATATGCGTAATACTTCATGTAAACGTACCTATCATCTTCACATCTAAACAAGCTTTCTTCATATTGGTTTCTGCGCATGTGCTTAAAAGAGTAGTCTTCACTTCCTGAAGTGACAGAAACCCAGTGATCATTTAAAACAGCAGCTCCTGATTTCTGTCTGTGGCGCACAGACGGGATTGGATACTGCAAATAAGATATAATATAAGTACAGTTAAAATGTCACTGGATGCAATATAGAACTCTGAAAATCTTATTACATCTGGAGGGAGAAGCCGGTAGCTAGGAGTGCAACTCTCGCAATTAGATAGATCAAGCTCTTGAATAGATTTCCCCATGTACTTGTCCTTGGATCGCTCTTTTTCCTTAGCAGCCTCAAGGTCACGTTTGTGTTCTCTTTCTTTTTCCTCCCCCTTCATTGATCTAGATAAATTTTCTTCACTACTAAGTGATTCTGCAGGAAGTGTACCAAGCAGTGTTATTTATATTCCTATAACGTAGAAAACAAAGAGAAAAGTATACTCATAGACAAGAAGCTAGGAGACTGCTGCCTACTTTTGCTCATAACGCCAGCGAGGTGCTGGAAACCATCTGCACAAAAAGGATGATGATCAGAAACAGCTAGATAACTTAATTAGTAAAACGACAGTATGAAATCTCTAATACCAATACTCTCACAACGTTCGAAGAACTGATTGAACTCATCCATGAGATCAGGGAATTTTCCAAGCACATCGGAAACCTGAATGAAAGAAAGTGGCGTTAAGACAAAAATCTACCCCTATACGTATCAACACACAAGATATTTGGAGACCTACCAAATTCTGCAGATCTTTCCTTTGGATAATTCCATTGCTAAACATATTGAGACACTTCAAGAATGCTTGATAATCATCTTGGCTGCATAATCTCTCCTTAACTTTCTCACAAAACATAAATGCTTGGTTGTACATACCTAACGCAATGAAAGTACGTACAAAAAATATGATATTGTAAGTATAAGAAAACAGAAAAGACTGGTTGCACTTGAACATACTTGTTGACTGGAAAATTAGAAAACTGAAATTGTGGAGCCTTAAAAACAGAAAAGTTGTTAGTTCTCCATATATAACTAAAAGTCGCTTACTTTTTAGATTGTTTTTCTCAGAATGTGAAGCAGGACCAGAGTAAGCTTCAAACCCCTCCATTCTTCTCGATGACTTCCTTTTCTCTGAAAAATGTTGCAAGTTATCTTGCTCTGCTTCTCCATCTTCCAAATCACGGCTTCTCCTTTCTCTATTATCCTTATCAACACGTTTCCTCTGATCTCTGTGCATCTTAACCATTGATTTATCATCATTAAGGTCAGAACGGTCAACACTATGATCACGGTCACCCCGAGAAGCAACAGTCCTTTCTCGTCGGTGATCCTGATGATGAAAAACACATCAGCAAAGAAAAGAGAGACCTGAAAACAATTTTAGAACCAGGAAGAAATATAACCAATACCATACCTTCTCCATAAACATTCGACGCACAAGAGGAGGGCCTGATCCTCGGTCATCATACCGTTGGGCTTGACTCCGAAGTAACTGGGCTTCTGTATGAGGCGCCAACGAGTCAGGTAAAAACCTAGTGAACTCTTCAAGCAAATCCGAGTGGTCCTCAAAAAGAGTAGATACCTAACAAACAGATATTAGAGCTATAAAATATCGAGAAATTTCGATGTGACAGTATAAGAGAGATATAATCACTTCAGTGTGACATTACCTCATTGTAAACCTCAGTGATGTCCTTGTTATCCTTCCGATACATATTTAAGATTTCCAGGAAAGACTTATAGACAAGTTCATCGTGCTGGAACCGTGTCTGCAGTGATTAAAAAGAAACTGATACAATGAGAAACTAGGTGTAGAGGGCACTTCAAAGATAAGGATACACGTAAGAGAAGAGAACTGCTTGACCTTAATTTTATTAACAAAGCTTATGGCTTCTTCAAATTCAACAGTTTTCTTTGGTGGAGCTTCTTCTTCATCAAGCGTTATTTCAAACCCCTTAGGCAGAAAGGTGTTAAACCCGAAAATCAAATTGTTATGCCCCTTAAACAGCTGCTTCACTCGTGCAATCACACCAGTTGTATCGGTCCTGTAAATGCAAGATGAAGAATGTTTTCAGATGCCTTGAGGCTAAAAAAAATCAATCTAACAGGAAAGAAAGATCTTACCTTTGTGCCTTAAAGTCTTTCATAACCTCAAGGAACATATCATATTTATCCCTTTGATCTTGAAACATCTCCTTTACTTCCTTTAAGTAGGTCAAAGCATCATCGGTAGTCAATTTTTGAGTGTTAATTCCCCCGTCACCAATGCTCCCACCTCCAGTACCACCGTTTCCAGGGATTGGAGATTGCCCATAACTGCGGCAAACAAGCTCTACTCACTTAGTAAATTGCAAGCAAACAATAAGTGGACAACCATCTTACCCAGAAATCAATACAGACATTAAGTTGTTCCTACACATTCATTTGCAGAGATAGTCTTGAACCAAATTTAGACTTCCCTGATCTAAATGTCAGAAAATTGCATGGGCTTAAAAATTAAGTTTCTTTTACCAAAGCAACACGAAGATCCAACCTATGATCACAAACAAAATCTAGAAATTTCACAAAGCCGCAAAATCTAGATTAGTAAAACTGACCAGTTCACCAACTTACCTAGAAATTCAAATACATTTAAAGGGTATCAAACATCACAAACCCACGAAAAAAAAAACTCTGAAAAAAAAGGGAACTCACGATTCGCCACGAGAAGACCCCAAAGGACGTTTAAATTGAGACCCAGTTGCGTAAATATCATCCCTAATTCGCTTCATTGCTGCTCAAGTAAAACACAAAAGATCATCGATTAGGGAATTAAATTGAAAATCTGAAGGTAAACCCAAAATCCCAAATTAGAAACTCCATTACTGAGAATTAAAAAAAAAAGGAAGAAAACTCAGATGAAGTTAATGAAACCTACTTTCTCGCGGTCCAGATTTCCCAGAGATATGACTTCGGGAAGAGATTAATCAGATCTCTCAAGTAAGACCGGAATCGAGAAGAAACACTTCCGATCAAATTCCGGCGAAACTTCAAATTCCCGAATTATGCAAAACCCGAAGAACAATTCCGATGACAACAGAGTGAAATTTAGAAGAAGAAAGAAAAACAAATGAGAGAGAGAGATTTTGAAAAGGTGTTGCTACGACTGAGAAAGAAGAGAGAGAGAGAGAGATTTTTCGAATAATGAAGAAGAAGAAGAAACAACGACGGAATTTGCCTTTGAGGTCTCTCCCGGCACCTTCTTTAGTTGTTTCAGCGGCACCAAATTTCCTTTTTTCTATTTTTGGGCCATTAAATTTATAATGGGCTTAGTAAAAGGCCGATATTAGGCCCATTAAATGACTTCTTTAAGGTAATTAGGGTTTTTCTTCATCATTTTCGCCGACAAAGATATATAAAGAGGAAACTGATAACATTACACAGAGACATCGATCTAATAAGCTTTGTTACATCTTCTTTCTTCTTCTGCGGTTTTTAGTATTTTTTTTTGTTCGGATTTTTGTTCAGTATTAAGATCAGGTGATGAGCAAATACTGCAACAATATGATGGAGATAATCTGTATGATTCTTAGTATTTAAGTCTCTGATGATCTTAATTTCTTTTTTCTTTTTTTCTGAGCTTAAAGATTTATAGAAATAAGAGATGTGATGAGTAACAAATTGGTCCGTGTTTCAGATTAACCGTGACTGAGAATTTATAACCAAACTCTGATCTCTATTGTTTTATTGTTTGAATCTTCAAATTTTGCTTCTTTTTTGAAAAACAATGATAAAGTTTTGGTCTTTGGCTCTGTGATTACTTTGCCTAATTGGCAGTATACGCTATTCTGAAAAACAGAGTATGAAAGATAACTAATTTTACTTAATGAGAGCCCAATCATATCTATCTTTTACTTGTTTTGAAACTTCTGCTATGATGATCTTTTGAATCAAATTCACATGTCAGACTTCAGAGATTTTTAAATCTATGAGAATAAACATTCATAATTCTGAGCAGAAGTAACTCAATCTATCTCTCCATAACTAAAAAGGACCAATTGTAACTTGTTGTAGAGCTTAGAAGATAGAAAAAGTCGAACTTTAGGATCAAATGTTTATACAAAGCAAACGTACTCGATAAAATGTCACAACCATTTGTGTAAAACCATGTACCCTTAATGAGAACCAATTTGGTATTTCAATCTGATTCATAATGCAAGAGTTTCTTGTGGTGAAGGAGCTTAGCTTCTTGTTCCTCAATCCTCATTCTCAAGAGTTATTTCATACCCCTTAGGCAAAAAGGTGTTAAACCCGAGAATCAAATTGTTATGCCCCTTCAACAGCTCCTTCACTCGTGAAATCACACCAGAAGTATTAGTCCTGTAAATGCAAGATGAAGAATGTTTTCAGATGCCTTGAGGCTAAAAAAATCAATCTTATAGGAAAGAAAGATCTTACCTTTGTGCTTTAAAGTCTCTCATAATGCCAAGAAACATAACGTATTTGCCCCTTTGATCTTGAAACGTCCTCTTTACTTCCATTAAGTAGGTCAAAGCATCATCTGTGCTAGATCTCTGAGTGATAATTCTCCTAACCTCAATTATCCCTCCTCTGGTGTCACCGTTTCCAGCAATTGGAGATTGTCTACGCCAAACAAGCTTTAACCATTTAAGTAAATTTCACTCTAACAATAAACGTCAATAGACATTAAATCGTTCCTACACATTCACTTGCAAAGATAGTCTTGATTCTTGAACAAAAACTAGACTTCCTGATCTAAACGTCATATTATTTCATGGGCTTAAAATTAAGTTTCTTTGTCAAGCAACCTGTGATCACCAACTAAATCTAGAAATTCACAAAGTACCTTTGTGCCTTAAAGTCTTTCATAACCTCAAAGAACATATCAAATTTGTCCTTTTGATTCTTGAAACGTATCCTTTTATTTCCAAAAAGCGATCAATAATTTTCATTAAACAAGAAAAAAGTGAAATTATTCATCATTATGCGTCAAAACAAGCCACGATCACAAATAAAATCGAGATAAGCCACATTTCAAGATAAGTAAACTAACCAAATCTTTTGCCAAGAACCAACTAGTTTAACAGCAGAAATACGAAACTCTCTGTGTGCTCATCGCTAAGATTTCGAATATTGTAAAGAGAACTCACGATTCGTTTGAAGGGGAGCCCAATGGAGGTTTATCTTGTGACCCAGAACCGTCATCTCCAATCCGCTTCATTGCTGATAAAGAATTATGGGGAAAAAAGTTACTGCAAGCCGAAGAGAAACCAAGAATCAAGATGAAATCAAAGAGACTCACTTTCAAAGAGATTACAGTGGGAGCAAAATCGAGAAGAAACACTTCGATCAGCGACGATTTCAGGCGGATCCTAGAAGAAGTGTTGCGATGACAAATAGAGCAAAACGGAATTAAAAAAGAGGAATGAGAGACATTTTTTCAGATGAAGAAGAACGCGCCAAATAAACCGTCTGTTTGTAACTTATTTGGGCCTATAGTCCATTATGTGCCGAATATAGGCCCATTTATGTTAAAAAAAATACAAGTGGCCCATTTAAGTATTCATTAGGATCAATTCTTTTCTTTACTTTTTTTTTTTTTTTGTAACAACTACATTATGTATTATCTTTAGAACAAATGTGATCATAGTTTAAAGCTATATATATAAAGAGGGCTTCTTTCATCTCTGAAGTTATGTAGAATATGATCATTGAAGCTTTTTTATTATTTTTGTTTTGTATCGTTATTGTATCAGTTAATGAGCAAACGCTGACATTGATAAGATGGAGAAAATTTGTGATTTTAGTATTTAACACTAAATGATGATCTCAATATAGTTCTTTTCTCAATCTTTGATTTTGGCTTCTTGTTATAAAACAATGCTAAAATTAATTTTGGTCTTTGGCTCTGTGAGTATAAGTAGTTCACCTAAATAATAATAATCCATACATGTGAGCAGAAGTAGTAATATATATCTAAGGAAGATAAAATCATGACAACAAATTTAAGTGTACGTAAAGAAAATATAAAAGGTCATATTTTATTGTAGTGAAACGTTTCCTCATGCATGGATTACAAAGAAACATACTTGATAGTATACCATCAAAAACTGAATAGAGAGTATAGTTTAGAGATTTTGATAGTATCATTTGTGTGATAACCATGACAAGAAATTTCAATAGTCTCTTGCGGCGGAGCTAGTGGAGGCTTCTACGTCACCATCAAGAATTATCTTATCTCCAAGTGGCAAAAAGGTGTTAAATCCGATAATTAAATTTTTGTGCTCCTTAAATAACTTCTTCAATCGATCATACAAAGTAGATTGATCAATCCTGTAAATGCAAGAAATTCTATAAGCAAAACTCATCAAAACCTTAAGGCTAAACCAAAAAAAAAAACATCAAGATCTTACCTTTGTGCCTTAAAATTAAACAAAAGCATACGGAACATATCATAATTTTCCCTTTGATCACGAAACGTATCTTTCACTTGCCAAATGTATGCCAGAGCATCACTAGTGGTCTTCCCTCCATGCCTGCACCAAAACCAAAAGACCAAAGACAGACATATAACATGTTCCTACAGATTCATATAATAAAGAAAACTATAACACTTAGCCCACAAACCAAAACAAGATCTACGAGATCAGTCACATGTTCTGAAAGTTGAAAAATCATCTTTACACAAGCAACAAGTAGATAAAATTATTCATCGTTATGCGTCAAAAACAACCCACGATCACCAGCACAATTCAAGATTAGGAAACTAACCTTAGAGACATTTGAACGTCTATTTCATCAGGAGTCGGCTCCATTTCTGTCGGACTAATCAAAACATCAACAATAAGAGAGATTATACACGGAAAGATATGAAACAATTAACCCTTTATCAAAACAAAAAAAGATATGAAACAAATCAATCAGATCTTTGAAGTGAGAGCAGAATAGAGAAGAAGAAACACTTCAATCACCGAAGGTTATGCATACATTATGAAATATCTAGGCATTTCCGATGAAGCGTTGCGACTTGTGATGAGAATAGTGCAAAATCAGGAATGACGAACGAGATATAAATACAGGCGCCAAATGGTGCCATCTCTTCGTAACTTATTTGGGCTTATAATATATAATGGGCTTTTATATGCCGAGGTTAGGCCTTATTTAAGTATTTATCTGCTTTTCTTCTTTGTTTTAATTTTACTTTCTTTTTTTTTGTTACAGTATCAGTTGATGAGCAAAATACAGTGCCGTGCTTACCCCTTAACATAAAGGGCATTTGCCCACAGCAACATTTTATAGACTTGATTTTTAGGCCACATTATTAAAAAAATTTTGTTGGTTCATCAAATTTAAGTTGTCTTATGCATGTATTTTGCTTGAAGTTTGATCCATGTTAGCATAATTCATTTCACTACATAGATTTAAAACCTTGACTTTGTATTGTAGTTCACTTTTTCTCTTCTGGTTATATTTTAGGCTCTTTAAAAAATAATTATTCAACTAAATTAGATAGGCCACATTTTATTTTTCGTTCCAAGCCCCAAAAAGCCTTGGCACGGCACTGGCAAAATACTGCCACAATTGGTTCGTGTTTCAGATTAACCATGACTGAGAATTTTAGACCAAACTCTGATCTCAAATGTTTATTTTTACAACTTGCTCAATTAAGTTGCATTCATTAGGCTCTTTTTCCTTACTTTTTTTTTTTGTAACATCTACTTAATTTATTATCTTTAGGAACAAATGTGATCATAGTGTAAAGCTATATAAAGAGACCTTCTTCCATCTCTGAAGTTATGTAATATGCTCTCTTTTTTTTTACAGATAAAAAATAAGAATAAAATTCTTTTCATTTGCTGAGAAAATACTGCAACAATATGATGGAGTAAATCTTTGTGTTTTTAGTATTTGTATTGTAACATCATACTTTTTTTTTCCCCCATTGTAACATCATACTATGATTTCAATACAGTTCTTTTTTCAATCTTTGTTCTTTGCTTCTCGTTATAACTTATAAAACATAGCTAACATTTTGGTCATGGTTGGCGCAATATATGACAAAAAGTATTCTCTACTTACTGAATGCCAATCATATATTTCTTTTGAAACTTTTGCAATGACGTTATTTTGAATACTATAAAATTCATATGTCAGATTTTAGAAAAAAATTTCATTAAGAATAAAAAAGTAGATATTAATGTTTTTACTATTATTGGTAAAGATATTAAATTCATGACAAATATTGAAAGTGGACGTAAAGAAGATAGAAAAAGGTCAAACTTTATTGTATAGTGAAATGTTTCCACATGCATGGCAAAGCAAACATACTCGAAAAACCATCAAGAACCGAACAGAGTGATTAATTTAGAGATTTTGATCGTATCACTTGAGTAAAAAAACTATGACAAGAAATTTCAATAGTTTCTTGCGGTGGAGATAAAAGAGTCTTCTATGTCATCATCAAGAGTTATCTTGTATCCAGGTGGCAAAAAGGTGTTAAATCCGATAATTAATTCGTTGTGCCCCTTAAACAACTCCTTCAATCGAGCAAACGCAGTATAATGACGAATCCTGTATATGCAAGAAATTCTTTAAGCAAGCTCATCAAAACCTTATAGGTAAACCAAAAAAAAAAAAAACAATCAGGATCTTACCTTCGTGCCCTCATATCTGACATAACCCTAATGAACATATCATATTTTTCCCTTTGGTCATGAAACGTATCTTTCACTTCCTTAAAGTATGCTCTACATTCAGCTATAACATCCCTTTCTTCTCCATGCCTGCACCAAACCCAAAAGACCAATAGAGACAGACATGAACATGTTCCTACACAGTCAGGTAATAAAGAAAAGACACTATTTGCACAAGCCAAAAGAAGAACTCAGAGAGTCGCATGTTTTGAAAGTTTAAAATACTCTTTACACAAGCAAGTAGATCAAAATTCATCATTATACGTCAAAAACATCCCACGATCACACCAGCACACTTCAAAATTAGGAAACTAACCTTCGAGGCCTTGGAACGTCTACTTCATCAGGAGTCCGCTCCATTGCTGCCGGAATAAACAAAAGATCAACAATTTGAGAGGTTACTTGGAAAGATATGGAACAAATCAATCAGATCTTTGAAGTGAGAGCAGAATAGAGAAAAAGAAACACTTCGATCACCGAAGATTATACATACATAAACCAGAAAATGTTTAAGGCAAATCCGATGAAGCGTTGTGATTTGGCTCTCTTCTCATCGCATGTCGCAACGCATGACAAACAAGTTATAAATAAAGGAGCCAAATGGTACCGTCTCTTCGTAACGTTGTTGGGCCTACAATAACTATTGGGCTTTATAGGCCGAGGTTCTTCTTCTTTGTTTTAAATCTTACGTTTTTTTGGTTACAGTATCAGTTGATGAGCAAAATACTGCCACAATTGGTCCGTGTTTCAGATTAACCGTGACTGACAATTTTAGACCAAACACTGATCTCAATTGTTTATTTTTATTTGTCAGTATTCGATTTGGGTTCTTGTTAAATTAAAAAATGGGGGCAAGCTTTGAATGAGAGCCATTGCAATTGTTTATATATTTTTCTGTGACATTTTACTAATATTTGATAAGCTTTCATTCAAAAACAAAAAAAAGCTTTGCTATGATGATTTTTCGAATAAATAAGATATTCCCAAAACATTGGATACAGTCTAATTCAAACCAAATCTTTGCCACTAGTCAGTCACATGGAAAGAGAAGTGACCATCAATAGGCCCTCATGTAATTTGCACTTAGTCACATGGGTGTATATCTATAAATCAACAATATCAATGTGAATTAACGAATCATGTATCAAATCAATTCGAAAGCAATAATATCAATGAAACACCTATATGTTAGTCAGGTAACTTCATCATGACAAATAATAAAAAGGACATGACTAATATGTGACAAACCTATAAAATTGGTATGAGGTTGGAAAAGCTTAAACTTTAGGTCGGCAATAGAAGACAAATTCAATAATCAATGATCTTGCCGAAATTTCGGCACTTTCTCAAAGGAAGAAAGTCCAAAAAGATCTCTATACAACCATCAAAGTATCCGATCATCATCACACACTCCCTTTTGTGTAAAACACCACGTAAACCATCTCTCTGACATAACTCTAATTTACCATTACCTGCATTGCCGTGGTCTGAAATTCTCAGTTGATAACAAATAGGTTATGAGTTTCTCGACCCGTTTAGCTCCAAGACCAGGTTTAATAACCGAAGTATCACCAATCACTGCACACGGATCACTTCCGTTTTCCCTCGTACCAATACACCAACCACCAGGAGTGACCCTCCCGTGACTCCGTGACAAGAGTTCCGAATCAATCTTATCGAGAACAGGCTCATCTCTACGGAATTTCCTAGCGAAAGGAGCGTTACTATCCACCATTCTCTGGAAATCATCTACAGTGAGATGGTGAGGGTGTTGCTTTGGAGGATTGTCCCATGAGATGAAATGTAAGTCACTGTTTACTGTTGTGTTAGTAAACTCCCGAGCATTGCAAATCACCGTGTGGAAGTAACCTTCTGGTGATGAAAGGAAGTTTGCGTAATACATTAGAACAATTCGAGGAAGATTGTCCCATCCCCATATGAAATAATCCACAAAAGGTCTAGATAACATCATCCACGCAGATCCTATAAACAACATCAAGAACCATTAGAGCCACATCACATCAATTTCTACACATAAAGAGTGTAACAAAGATCCTACATTTAAGGAAGACTCTACATTTAGACATTCCCATTATGTTAATAACCCAAAACAGGAAAGATTATGAAAAAATGAAATCACCTGTGAAGAGTTTGAAAGCTGTAGGCATACTTCTCTTCTGTGAAACCCAGAAAACATCTGATTTCTTTGACATATACAAACCAGGATCAATAATTATTGGCTTTGCTCGATGAGACCTATACAAGTTTTTTTCCAAAAATCTCAGAGAAAGTTGTCAAAAACGAAAATGTTGTAATGTAGCTCCTATACTCACTCTTTCCAACCAATGTTGCTCGTATGATCCATGAAATTGAGATCTCGAGGAAGATACGAAAACGTATGCAACAGATCTGGAATCGAAATCGACATAAACCTCAAATGATTGAACAAAAACAATAAACAGAGTTTGAGATTATAAGATTAAGCTATGTATCCAATTTCGTTACCATCTTGTGTTACGAGAGGATAATCAGAAGCACTGAGATTGATGAACCAATCCCAATCTCCACCTTCACGAAGCAAAATCGCTGCTGCGTGAAGTGTATTAGCCACCATAGTTGGACCACGATAAGTAACGAAATTAGCCTTAACAATCATCCGAACATTTTGAAATCTCTGAAACAGAGTTTGATTCGCTAAAAAACCACTGAGATCCAATCGTTCCTCTGGTGAAGATTCCCGATCGAGATGAACAACGTACTGGTTGTTCGGATGGTAAAGCGCCATTAAAGTCCGTTTCAGCATCTGACCGTCACCGGAGGAGCCGGAGATTAGATACGCGAGACGTGGCGGCGGCGGAGGAGAGACGGAGACGGAAACTGAGACGGATACTGGATTTATTTTGGATTCGACGAAGACGGAGGATCTAAATCCGTAGACGGAAAACGGAATCAAACGAGTTTGACCAGAAGATGAAGCTAAGTTCGTTAGCAGTAAGAGAAACAGAGAACAAATGGATCCGATTGCTAAAGGAAGAATCCATTTCCGGTCTAGAGATTGTTGCTGGTGACGAACTTGCATGTAATAGCTCTTCAATTTCTTCATATTCGAAGCTTCATCAATTACAGAAGAATCACTCTCAGATGGATTCTTCTTCTTCAGTGGTTGTGGCTAGAGAGACTTGAGATAGTGAAGTGTACGAATTACGAAATGGAGAAGATGAATGAAGAATTGGTGTGTTTTTGTTTGTTTGTTGGTCTGTTCTTTTTGTATGTTTCAATATTATTATATTAAAAAAAATTGTTTTCAACAGTATTTTTTGTATTTTATCTGTGTGTTTTTTTTTCTGCTAAATTTTTTCCTATTTATTTTATGTGATATTAGGTCATTTACAATAATTTAGTATTCATTCTATCATATTTTATCTAAAATAACCAATATTTAATGAAAACGTGTTCTTATGTAAATCCATTTGTTTTATCTAATATTTACTGTTTATCCCAGTCAAAGTTTCTTCTTGTGAAGATAAATACTATTGGAGTTATAGTAAATGGTCATTTTCATCTTTTATAGGAGTATTTTTTTAGTAAATTATATAATAATTGTTGCTTAAAAAACGATACATTTTTGTAGTAGGAGTATGGAAAGGGTTTAAATTAATGAAGACCATTTAACTGGTCTTCCAAGTTTATTCTGTTTCCATTAAAGTTATTGACTTTTTAATGACTTTTGTCAGGACTATTAGACCATCTGCATTGGGGGATCACCCCCCCTGATCTAAGCATTATTTAAATCCAAAAAAATGGGTTAATGGGCTTAAGATCAGGAACTGGGCTCTTGACCTGGATCTGTTCTTGTGGGTGTTGCGGGGTGACGTGGCATTTGGGCATTGGTTGGAATATTCAACATATTTGGAATAAATTTGGATAATAAACTATGTATTAATTAGATAAAATGTTTTTGTGCTTTTATTAAGTAATATATTTGTTTGTTTATTGTTATTTATATTTTTAATGTTTTTTTCATAAATATTTAGTATTGTATTTTCACTTTTATTTTCAGTTTTTCATAAATTTGGCATTTGCAATTTATATGTTATTTTTAAATGTTTTAATAATTGTAAAATCTTAATTTAATTTAGATTATTATATTATTAAGTCTTAAGATCTTACACATGTTCTCCCACTAATCAACTTCTAAACAAAAGATCTAAACACATGATCTTACATTATTTTAACATTATATTCTCTATAAGAACACACTCACATGATCCCCCATTGATGATGCCCTTAGGCTGACTAATCAGCAGTAATGCTAATCCCTTAAACACGCAAGGGTTAATGGGCTTTAAATCTATGAAAGCCCGCAATGAAACACGTAAAGCCCACATATAAAATATCAACGAAAGGGGATGAGTCAAAAAGTCGAACAAATCAAAGGCCTCTATCGGCCTTTAAATGATCACATCCCAAAGACCCAACCTATGAGATTGATTTTCGTAATTTATGCTATTTTTTGGCTCGATAAAGTCAAAACCACCGAAAATGTTAAAACGAAGTAAATGATCGAAGAAAATATCCAGAAAGTCTAAATCGTATTTTACTTTTCATATAGTAACAAATATATTTTTTATCTACATATTGAGAAAGGGGAGAAAAAGCCTACAAGAGAATTAAGAGTAATAAGAATTCAGACGCGAAAGTACAAAAAATATTCTTCTCTATTGAGACTGGTTCATCCCCAAAGTGGAAAGATCTACGGAAATGGAAAGTCATCTTTCTTCGTCATAGATTGATATGCACTGTTAATTAAAAAAAAAACAGCATTAATACAAAATATTAGTAGGATGGTATCGTATAATTTATAAATAAAAAAGTGTAAACTGGTACATGCCATTTTAGGCCAAAAGTCTAGCTTCTTGGTCCCACGTATTCTTCCTATAAATGTATACTATAGTAGTATAATGTGGTCTATTAATCTTTAGACTAGTCACTAAGTTTTAACTAATCAAAGAAATGTTGTCGACTATGTTAAAACTTTGGCAACTACCAACTGAAAAAAAAAAAAAACAGTAGTCAACTCTATATACAATGCATATAACTATAATTCTTTTAATTAATTTGATCAGAATTAGCCAATGTTTGATTTTATGAATTAAGAAGGAACACTGAAATCTTTTTCTTTATGCCATTGTCTTAAAATTTTCTTTACAATTATTTCAAGTTTTAATCATATAATTAAATAGTGCAAATAATAGAATAAGGAAATCGGAAAACGTACCACTTGTCACCGGAATCTTGAGCTTCCGAGAAAGATCTTTCCTCAATAGTAAGGAATTCATAAAGCTCTCTCGGGATATCATTGTTACGAGGAGCACCACCGAGTTGTTCTTGTTCCAACGCTTCGTTGGCATTTGCATTATGAGGGCTCGAACCGAGTTGTTCTTGTTCCAACGCTTCGTTGGCATTTGCATTATGAGGGCTCGAACCGAGATTGTTCGTATTGGGAAGACACTGTTGGGCGTTGTTGTTAGGCGCTCCCTCTAACGGCGTCGTCTCGGTCACACACTCCTCGTCTGCGAAATTACCACAAAACCCTCCGCTGCCCAAGAAATCGATCGTTCCATCGTTAGCGGGAACTCTCGTGAAGTCGTCGTTCTTTGCGTTGAGGTTTCGAGAAGGATTTATTAGCTCTGACTCGACGGAGGCGGCGGGATAAAAGAAGTTGGCGGCGGCAGAGGGATTAAAGAAGTTGTTGGCGGCGGGATAAAAGAAGTTGGCGGCGGCAGAGGGATTAAAGAAGTTGTTGGCGGCGGGATAAAAGAAGTTGGCGGCGGTGGGATTGAAGAAAGCGGCGCTTGGATTGGATGCGGCGACGAAGGCGGTGAGTAGAGAACGGGTGTGAAGTAGTTCAGCGTTGAGGAGTTCGATTTGGTATCGGAGATGGGAAATGACTCTGTAACAGCCATCGACGGGGAATTGAGAGCGCATGTTGGAATGGTAAATAATCGATTTCATTGCGTCTCCTCGTACCTCCGGCTCCATGTTTTCGAGATATTTTACCACACGGCCGACGCCGAATAGACGGTGAACGTTTTGGAAATCTTGATTTTGTCCCACCGGAAAATGAAGACGAAAGATACAGTCCGATGTGCAACGACGGCGTTGGTACTTGCAAGCGAGGCATGGTTCGATATTACCGCCGTAATTTACGCCGGAAGAACCTTGCGATGTCATCAAGATGATGACTGATGTGAGAATCAAGAAGAATACGAGTTTGTTAGGCTTCATCATCATCGACAATTTGGGTTTCTTTTTTTCTGTTTGTTTGTTGAGTGGGAAAAAAAGAAGATTGAAACGAGTATTTATAGAGAACAGAGTGAAGCAAGAAGAATAAAGAGAGAGATTTTTTTATTATTATTATGAATTAAATAAAAAGTTTCTCTAATAACAAATGTCGTTATTATAGATAGGATTAATTCTGTTTATTCAGATTAAACACACCATTTCAAGTCGTTATGTTTAAATAATAAGTGGACGAACCATGTGTCAACAATATTTTAGAATTTAGCTTCAACCGACAGACAAATGTCTCTAGCTCATAAAACACAATTAAAATATCAACTCTTATTTTGTTACTATATTTCTTCAACATTTTGCTCTTTCTATCATTTGATTGGATTACAATATATTTGATAGGCTACACATGGACCATTTCGATTACTTGAAAATTTAAAACGCGTTCTATTGACCTTCTCATTAAACATTGTGAATATTTATTTACTAGTGACAATGTGGATACATAATCATCACAATTTAGAAATTCCTAAAAAGAACACCGTAAATATTATTATGTTCCCACTTATTAAAAAAAAAGTTCACTAAGTTTTGTAGGTCGGTGACTAATTAAATTATTAATAACCTTGATTTAAATAAACAAGCCAAATCTATATATAACTTTAATAATGCTAATCAATTTTATATTTTTGTTTAATTCGATTCAAAGCAGCAACGCCCCTGACGCCTGAATCTTCTCTCTCTTTCCTCGTGCCATTACCGCACTATCGCTAGCTATTGCTCTCTGTGCTTGTGATCATCGTTTTCCCAAGTAACGTCTCTCCTCGACTTTTTCTCTGCTAGATCTCGCATTGCTCTCTCATGTTATGCTTACCTGTTTCTTCTATCTCTAATCCCATCTTAGTCGCGGCCATGATTCCGAGATTGTTCGAAACCCAAGCGATTTAGTCTCAGCTCTTACTTTTTTCTCTGAACGAATTTTTCGTTGTGTTTTTTGAATCTCTGATTTCAGACGGAGAACGAGAGAACGTCGTTCGAGGAACGAAACGGAAAGAGAGCGAGCGAGAATGGGGATGGAAGAAGGAGCAGGTGTTGATAAGAAGATAACGATTGGAGTCTGCGTCATGGAAAAGAAGGTGAAATGCGGCCCCGAGGTTTTGTTTCCTTTCGTGCTTTTATTTCGCGTTTTCTTGCTCTGACGAACAGATTGCGATGATTTCGTTTGAATCAGTCACTCCGGTGAGGTTTTTTTAATTTCACTCTGTTGTCTCGCTTATTGAGATTGTTCGTTGTGGATTTGTAGGTTTTCTCAGCTCCCATGGGACAGATTATGGACAGGATACATGCCTTTGGCGAATTTGAGGTAGTTTTCACTTTCTCGATTTTTCTCATGATTGAGGATTTTGATGTTTCTCAGGTTTTTATTTGGTGATTTTGGACCTGTAGGCTGTAGTTTGTTCTCCACTTGGAGAAAAAAATGCCTCTTGGTTAGACTTAGCTCTAATTTGTGATTTCAATTTTATTGGAAGATGTTTTCCTGGGTAATTTTTACCAAGTTGTTGGTATCTGTCTCTGTGGATTCTCTATAGTTTATTCTCATCTTTTTTTCCCTTTTATTTGTGATCTCATGGACCCATTGTTACCACTTTATTAGATTATACATTTTGGGGATAAGGTCATACTTGAAGACCCAGTAGAAAGGTATGTCTCTAAACAAATGTATGAATATCGTTTTTCTTTTGGTTTTGACCTATGTTTTATCGTATTTAATTCATGTGATGCATGGATTTGTAACGATTCTCTCTATTAGTTTATTAGGAGAGAGTGTAGTTAATGATTATCAAGTACAATTATATTCTTGGACCACAAATTCACCAGGGACTTTGCTGTTTCAGTTGGCCGATTTGTGATTGTTTGATTGCTTTCTATTCCTCTGGATATCCTCTTGAGAAAGTTCAAGCATATTCTTCTTTAAGAAAGTGAGTTCTACCTTTTTAACTTTTGTTGGTTGTTCAGTAAAAAAATTGAGTTTGGCTTTTGAGTTCAAACTTCTATATTCAGGCCCTTTTTAGTGAATGAACTCGATCCGCAATATCTTCTTCATGACCGCCGGAAAGTGTATGAGGTAAGCATTCTAGACTGCATGAAAGTTGGCCTGTGCATTTCTAATCACCATGTCATTTTTCTTTTTCATGTCTCCCACTCATTTATTTTCTTCACATTCCGTCGCTCGTGAAAAAGAAGAGCCACATACTTTCTCCTTAATTAATAAAATTTTCTATTGATGTGCATCTATAGCATCTTGAGATGTATGGTATCCCAGTTCCTAGATATGCCTGTGTTAATAGAAAAGTACCGGACGAAGATCTTGATTATTTCGTCGAGGAAGAAGATTTTGTTGAGGTTAAAGGTGAACGATTCTGGAAGCCATTTGTGGAAAAGCCCGTCAATGGTGAGCTTCTCCTTTCAAATATTTGATCTCTCGTTGTTTGGTGTTTTTTTCTGAGACGTAATTAACTACCCATATGAGATGTTCTAAGCTTGATTATGTTTGATTATGTGTCACTGAAATGTTCTTACTTTTGGGGTATTAGGTAAACTAGTTTCATGTTTTGTGTAATTGTAGTTCAGTCTTCTCTATGCATAGGCGCAGGATGGAAATAGTAGATGAATCTTAAATTAATTGAGTGCCTGTTACACTTTCAAGGAATGTGATTTTAATTGAACACAGTGATTTTTCTGAGCTTCTATTATTTTTCCTTGCTATGTCAGCCTTGATCCCAATTGTTTCCCTGATTTGCAGTTTTTTTTTCTAATTGTCTACTAATAATTGACATTCATTATGCTTGTAAAGGAGATGACCATAGTATAATGATATACTACCCTAGCTCAGCTGGTGGAGGCATGAAAGAATTGTTTCGTAAGGTACTGCTTCTTTCTGCAGAACTTGACTTCCCGTTGATTGAACTTGGTCTAATATTTTTTTTATAACTTTTTTGGCACATTACTGTAGTTGGCTCGTTCAAATTTCTAATGTCTTTCTGCAGAAGTTTGGCTATTCTAGGATTGAATAGTTAAGTTGAATATGATTATAATAATTCGTGGCACATTCCTGTGGTTAGCAATATTAATCCCTTTCTGACCCATTCTTTTTTTTTGTTTTAGGTTGGGAATCGATCAAGTGAGTTTCATCCTGATGTCAGAAGAGTAAGGAGGGAAGGCTCTTATATATATGAGGAGTTTATGCCTACTGGGGGAACTGATGTCAAGGTTGTGTTCGTGTTGCCATATAGATGCTTCTAGACAAGCTTATTCTGTTCTAATCCATGGCCAGGCTACATAACCTTTCTTAAAACATTGCAATGTGTTTTTGTGCTCTTGTTGGTATCCAGGTCTCCTAAATTTAGATAGTTTCCGTGTTAATGTCCCTATGCTGTTCTGTTGACCTGTTTGTTCATGTAATGGATATGTTCCATGTCGTAAGGCTAGCTGGAATAGTTTATTTTGCTTGCTTCTTTTTTTTCTTTCTGGATAACGTTTTGGTTCAACTTGGATTTGACGAGTTTTCAACTGACAGTCTACCCTGAATTACAGGTCTACACTGTGGGTCCCGAATATGCACACGCTGAAGCAAGAAAATCACCGGTTGTTGATGGTGTAGTAATGAGGAATCCAGATGGGAAGGAAGTAAGTCTGCCAATCTTTACCTAAGCATTCCACATATGAAATCTTATGTGACTCTTATTTCATGAACAATGGAGCTATGGTTAAATGGGTACTAAAGGCTGTCGAGTATATAGAGGAATCGTAACTTATGTCTTATGAAGGTATAGAATTAGATCAAAAATCAAGTCTTGTTATTTTATTGAACAGGTGAGATATCCAGTTTTACTTACACCTGCTGAGAAGCAAATGGCGAGAGAAGTTTGCATTGCATTTAGGCAAGCGGTATGTGGTTATTCCAGTTATCTGACTGTCACTGTGTCTTGTAGAGTTCTATCGCCTTATAATTTTATATGCGCAACAGTAATAAGAAGACATGCCTGAGTCTCTCTCATAATGCTTAGATTGAAAATCATTGAGCTAAATTGTATATTACCATTGAACTGTTTTTAAATGTTCTCTCATATTCTTTTCCACAATAGAATTAGTGTTAAAGTCTTGCTTCTGGGGTAATTAGTTTGAAGTAATGATTACTAAATGTGCTTGTAGATACTCTAACCCATCTCTCTATTTCTCATGTCTTGCTTTAGACTAAATGCTTGTAGATACAATATATTCTCTTATAAACAGACAAGCATACACACACGTTGTTGCCTGGAAAAGTTGAAGATATTCTTGTATAATGCATGTGTGGAATTGTTTTCATGTCTGCAGGTCTGCGGATTTGATCTCCTACGATCTGAGGGAAGTTCATATGTTTGTGACGTAAATGGATGGAGTTTTGTGAAGAACTCCTATAAGTGAGACACTAATCTAGACTTCTATTTTTCTTCTGAGTTCTGATTATTGTTTCAGTTATATCTTCGCAAGGAAAATCACAAATCATTATATATTTGCTGCCGCTGACCTAGCTCTATAGTTAATAAATTATGCTCATTGAGCGAATTTCAATCCTAGAGGTTTTAGCAGCATCTTTGCCTTCTAAAAAATCGTACATTTGGCATAAGCTAGTAGAGGCAGAGCTCATTGCTTATTATTTGAGATAAACTCTGTGTCATCGTCATATCCACTTTTGGAACTCTAAGTTTGTATTCATTTGGACTTATAATCAGAAATGTCACCAGATCTCTTTCACTGTAAGGTATTACGACGATGCTGCTTGTGTGCTACGGAAAATGTTTTTGGATGCAAAGGCTCCTCATCTGTCTTCAACAATTCCTCCCATTCTGCCATGGAAAATCAACGAACCTGTCCAATCTAATGAAGGTCTTACTCGCCAAGGAAGTGGCATCATTGGAACTTTTGGACAGTCAGAGGAGCTACGCTGTGTCATTGCTGTTGTTCGGCAGTATGTTTTAGCATATTATCACCTGTCCTCTCTTAACTTCTCTCTGTTCACTCAAGCCCTGAGTTGTGTTTATCTTCTCTTGACAGTGGTGATAGAACCCCCAAGCAGAAAGTGAAACTAAAAGTTACGGAGGAGAAACTGTTAAACCTGATGTTGAAGTACAATGGAGGAAAACCAAGAGCTGAGGTGAGATGCTCGGGCTTTTCCACCTTCAACTTCGTCCCGCCTATAGTGATTTGCTGATACTGTGTAATTTTTTCCTTTCTTACAGACCAAACTTAAAAGTGCCGTCCAATTGCAAGATCTATTGGATGCCACAAGAATGTTAATTCCTCGTACAAGGTAGACCCCTTATGACTTGAGTTATGCTTACAGTTTTAAGCCTTTCCTTGCTTGAGTGGTACTCTGGGATACAAAATTCTTTACTGATTAAGAGAACCAGTGGATTTCATGGATGAACTGGAAGAAATTTAACTTGAATGAGTGCTAACCAAACAATGGCTTTCATATGTTACTTTTCTACTTGTTACAAATTGCTTTGCTGAAGAGGACTTTTGTTAATGATTATCCCGGTGAAGCTTTTGCTGTATTGACGAATATGCTTCATTGACATTAACTAGTGATGGAATTCATGAGTACAATTTTGAAATATGGCAACTACCTTATTGTATTTATGTTTGATGTTTAGATCAGGTGAAAGTGATAGTGATGCAGAAGACCTTGAACACGCTGACAAGCTTCGGCAAGTTAAAGCCGTTCTTGAAGAGGTTGTGTGCCTTAATAATCTTATTTTTTCTTTCCTTTTCTCTGAGCTGTATCCATTATGCAGTCCCATTAGCTGTACAGTAACAGCTACAGTCTGCAAACTCAGTCTCATATTATATATGTGTAAAATGTGCAGGGTGGACATTTCTCTGGCATATACAGGAAGGTTCAACTGAAGCCGTTGAAATGGGTTAACGTACCAAAAAGTGATGGTGAAGGTGAAGAGGAACGCCCAGTGGAAGCTCTTATGGTTCTGAAATACGGGGGTGTTCTAACTCATGCTGGTAGAAAGCAGGTAACACTATTATTTGTTAGCAGAAGATTATGTCAAATGCAGTGCAAAGTTCAGTACTGGTATTGGTAATGGAGGCATAGTTAATGTAAGGATACCTAACACCAGTGGAGGCGGTTGAGGGATTATTCTCTGATTTCTTTGATGTTTGCTTGATTTTTTCCACAGGCCGAAGAACTTGGTAGATACTTTCGAAACAATATGTATCCAGGTGACTACACCTTATCTGCTTGATTTGTCCAATCATTTCATATTCTACCTTCCATATGTCTCATACAATTTTCTGAAACAGTCCATTGTAGTTGTGCTGATCAATATACATTTATTTCTGAGTGGTTAATGAAAAACTGGGGATATGCTTTCAGGGGAAGGTACCGGTTTGCTCCGTCTCCATAGCACATACCGTCACGACCTTAAAATTTACAGCTCTGACGAGGGACGTGTTCAGGTACAACTTTCTGCCGATTTAGTAGTGATAATGACCATTGAGCATTCAAATATTCACTATATCTTCTGAATATTCCTCATCGGTTGCACTGAGATATGATATCAATGTATGCAGATGTCTGCAGCTGCTTTTGCCAAAGGCCTGCTTGACCTAGAAGGACAGCTGACCCCAATCCTGGTTTGCCATTTTCTTTTACCAAGCTAGTATAGTGCTTGGCAATGTCATAATCATTTAATGTCTTATCTTTTTTCTCTAGGTTTCTCTGGTCAGTAAGGACTCTTCCATGTTGGATGGCCTTGATAATGCCAGCAGTGAAATGGAAGCAGCTAAGGTTTGTCCCTCTCTTTACTACATCTTGATTGTGGCTTCAGAGATGAGACGAATGAAAGGATGTTTAAGTACTAGTTAGAAGCATCAACCAATAGTCAGCACTCAGCAGTGTGACATGCATAACGTTCTAGAGTAAATCTGTTTCTAAGACACCAAAAATTTTCTTTCCAAAGGGACGCAATAGAGGCCTTTCCAATGCACTTACTCATTGGATGTTTGAACTTAAGGTTTTTTCATGTATGCTTAGATGGTTGACTTTCATTTGCGAAAAGTAGGGTGGATTATATTCTCATATGTACATTAACAATCATGTGTAATTGTTTACAGCTTTGAATTGCTTTCCAAATTTGCCTGCAGGCTCAACTAAATGAGATCATAACCGCCGGCTCAAAGATGGTACATGATTACGTCTCTTCTGAATTACCTTGGATGACTGATGGGGCTGGACTTCCTCCTCACGCTGATGAGCACCTACCTGAATTGGTACACACAGTTTTCTATTAGCATCTTAGAACCCGGATAGTGGGCTTTCTATCTGTTTTCTGAATTGTCTTTATGCTACAAGCCATCATCACTACCCGTTGCATTTTTTTCCATTGTTGAATCTTATTCTTTGTTAAAATGGAATGTCGAGTGTTTTACTACTAGGCGAAAGAAAAAGGTTTACTGGAGAGCACAAAATATATACTCAACGTTACTTCTCTGTTTACTTTTTAAATAAATAGGTAAAATTAGCTAAAAAGGTGACTGAACAAGTGAGGCTACTTGCAAAAGATGAACACGAGAATCTCGCAGAGCCTAGCGCTTATGATGTAGTCCCTCCATATGATCAAGCTAAGGCCCTTGGCAAGTCAAACATTGACGTTGGTCGGATTGCTGCTGGATTACCTTGTGGTAGTGAAGGGTTCCTTTTGATGTTTGCTCGGTGGAGAAAACTCGAAAGGGATCTCTACAACGAAAGAAGAGAGTAAGTGAATGGCCATATGCATTCTTATTTTATGTATGAGTTTTATAAAAGGCACTGATTGTTGGAATTGAATACAGCCGGTTTGACATAACGCAGATTCCTGATGTTTACGATTCATGCAAGTAAGCTATGTGTTTCAAGTCTAATATGTATTTTAGAGTGTATCTAGATTGATCTTTGCTTTAATTGCTCCATTCTGAATATCGTGAATGTGTTGTCAACACCAGGTATGACCTGTTACATAATTCTCATCTCGATTTAAAAGGATTAGACGAACTCTTCAAAGTAGCGCAGGTATGAGCTGAACAAAAAGCTGTAGTTTCTCTTCCACTATTTGAAACTTCGATGGTATTTGTTGATGTGCCATCATTCATTTGTCTTTCTTAGACAGTTTTACTTTTTCTACTACTAGCCAATGCGTCCTAGATTTCCAGATTCAAACTGTGCCTTTTCTATTGTACATCTCTGTTTTGTATTTCGATCATGGACTGTGTTGATTAGGGCCAGTTACTGTATGTGGTTGCAGTTGCTTGCAGATGGTGTAATCCCAAATGAGTATGGGATCAATCCACAGCAAAAGCTCAAAATCGGTTCAAAGGTGTGGGTTCCTCAGCCTTCTAAGTTCCATAATAGCATCTGAGTTTTCCTATCTTGGAATTTCACTGATGGGCCATGGTTTCCTCAGATAATCTCACAGACCATGCGTGTGTGTGTTTTTTCTTCTAAACACAGATTGCACGGCGCCTGCTAGGTAAAATCCTGATTGACTTGAGGAACACTCGAGAAGAGGCCATGAGTGTTGCTGAATTGAAGAACAGTCAAGATCAAGTCTCAGTGTCATTGTATTCGTCAAGAAAGGAGGATAGATATAGTCAACCAAAACTTTTCGTTAAAAGCGATGAGTTGAGACGGCCTAGCACTGGAGAGAATAAAGAAGAAGATGATGATAAAGAAACCAAATACAGACTCGATCCAAAGTAACCAAAAACTCTCTTTTATATTATAACTGGCATCATATATCTTTATCATCTATCTTAATATCATCGTTTTTACTGTGTTCCTTTTTAGGTATGCAAATGTCATGACGCCTGAACGTCATGTGAGGACACGTCTTTACTTCACATCTGTGAGTACTTTCTTCCATTTCTAGTCTCTTTCTTACAAATTATTCATCTCCAGCTACATGCAAGAATCCGGCTGGCGTAAATGGAAAAAAGAAGAAGTCTTTTTGACATTTTAGAGCCACTACAAGGCTCTTCGAACTCTTAGAATTATTTAGAATGTGTTTTATGACTAGATCATGCAACTAGCTTTATAATCAATGAAGTCTGTGGAATTTATACATGGCTTTCTTCTATGAAACGATTGACAGGAATCACATATTCATTCTCTGATGAACGTTCTACGGTATTGTAACCTTGACGAATCTCTTCAAGGAGAAGAAAGTCTGGTCTGCCAAAGCGCATTGGATCGTCTATGTAAAACCAAAGAACTCGATTACATGAGCTATGTTGTCCTAAGACTGTTTGAGAACACTGAGGTTTTTACAATACACCCGCCATTTCTCCCTCACTCTTGCTTTCAAGTTGTTATACTCACTCGTGTCAAAATTCTTGCCTCCAGATATCTCTGGACGACCCGAAACGATTCAGAATCGAACTTACATTTAGCCGTGGGGCAGATTTATCTCCCTTAGAGGTAAAGAGCAAAGACTAGACCCTTTTGTCCCGGATAGTCGATTACTAAAAAGAAGTTTTTCCTTTTTTGGTTCTGTCATCAGAAGAAGGACGAGGAAGCAGAATCATTGCTTCGGGAACACACACTTCCGATAATGGGACCAGAGAGGCTTCAAGAGGTTGGTTCATGTTTGACTCTCGAGACAGTGGAGAAGATGATACGACCATTTGCAATGCCGGCAGAGGATTTCCCTCCGCCGTCAATTCCGGCAGGCTTCTCCGGTTACTTCTCCAAAAGCGCCGCCGTTCTGGAGCGTCTTGTAAAACTTTGGCCCTTCCACAAGAACACCTCTAATGGCAAGAGCTAAACGCCAACAAAGTGGGTGACTAATGAATGATGATGATATTCCTAATCCATTTATTTTTTGAAACAAAATTTTGAACTGTTAGTAGTTTCTAATTGAGTAAACTAAAATGTTCATTCTTTTTTGTAGAATCGTCAAAAATTTTGGTTTAAAGAAATTGTTAATTGGTTTAGCATTATTGGAAATTTCCAAGCTTTTTTTAGTCATTGCTTTTTGTGTATACATTCTCTTAAAACAAAAATGATTCACGAATACCGAAAAAGAAGAAAGAGTTAAAAACGAAATGCCGAAATGGAATTTGATTCGTAGCTTTGATTTTCCCAAAGAATAAACAAGTGTTGATAAATGGTTTCCAACCAGACAAAAATAAAACAGACACAACACAAATCCTGGAGGTTTTGTAAACCAAGAACAGCTTATAATATGAAATAATTAATAATGAAAAAAACCGGTGATTTGATTAATAAATAATGAACATTTAGTAACACTGTTGAAGCACATGTGAAAAATCTCACTTTTATTATTTTCATTGCTCTCGCATAATTCCTCCTCTATGCTTGTTCTCTTTCTCTCTGCCTAGTCTACTCTTCTGCACATCTTCTCTCTCTCTCTCTCTCTCTCTATCTCCACAGACATCAATTCCCCTTTTTGACTAAAATTCCGCGACTCGGGCTCTGATCCATCCCCAGTGCTCTTTTTCACAAAAATCACTCCTTTTTCCTGGATTTTGTTTTCTCTCTAATTCTCGCCTGATTTTTCTTTAATTTGGGGAAAAACTATGGTGGTCTGATCAATCTTTGTCTGTCTTTGGTGAGATGGGTTTGGATGCTGTTAAAGCTAAAGGGGATTGGAAATCGGAGAAACCTAAAGAGACTGAGAATAAGAGCAAGAAGAAGAAGAACAGTGGTGATGATAATAATAAAAGTAGAAATGACGAAGAAGAAGAAACAGAAGAAGCAAGTGGCTGTTGGGTCAAATTTAGGTTTATGATTGGTTGCATACCTTCAAAATCAGACCTTGATGCTTCTTCTTCTTCTACTATCTATGGCTCTACCTGCACTGGTAAATATACCTTCTCTGATTTTTCCATTTTTGGTTTCTCACAGTTCGAGGGTCGTTGAGTTGCCTTTTCCTTTGAATTGAATAAATGAACAATCTTTTTGTGGGTTTTGTTTCTATAATTGTCTTCTCAGCTATATGTTTCCATTTAGGGTTTTTGTGCAAAATTCACGTGATGCTTGTGATTTAACCCTTTTTCAAGCTTCTTTGTTACCAAATTTAGGGACATAAGAGTTAAGAGTGATTTTGAGCTGTGATTGTATTTGGAGTTTTACTCATTTTATATCTTTCCTTAATGAAATTGAGTTTTTTTTTGGGATTGTCTTCTTTTTGTAGTTGCAACAATTGAAAGTAAATCGGCAAATGAGAAACTAAATGATCAACCTGTTGGTCCAGTTTCCTCCACAACAACAACTAGCAATGCAGAAAGCTCTTCATCTACTCCTATGATCAGTGAAGAACTTAAGATTTCTTCTCACCTCAGGAAGTTTACTTTCAATGATCTTAAGCTATCAACTAGAAATTTCAGACCGGAGAGTCTTCTTGGAGAAGGTGGTTTTGGTTGTGTCTTTAAAGGATGGATCGAAGAAAACGGAACTGCTCCTGTTAAACCTGGTACTGGCCTTACAGTTGCAGTTAAAACCTTAAATCCTGATGGACTTCAAGGTCACAAAGAATGGCTTGTAAGCAAACACTTTTTCTTCTCTTTCTTTTGCTTTTATCACTTGTCATTTTCTTAATGTGTTCCTGCTTGTTGCAATTGCAGGCTGAGATTAATTTCCTTGGTAACCTTCTCCATCCAAATCTAGTTAAGCTGGTTGGTTATTGCATCGAAGATGATCAAAGGTTGCTTGTGTATGAGTTTATGCCTCGAGGAAGTTTAGAGAATCACCTTTTCAGAAGTATGTAAACCAACAACCTTATAATAAATATATAACCATTTGAAAGTTGTCCATGTTTAATCCTCTATCTTACGATAATGGTGCTTTCATGTTTAAAGGGTCGTTGCCTCTTCCTTGGTCTATCCGGATGAAGATTGCATTAGGTGCTGCAAAAGGTCTCAGTTTCCTCCATGAAGAAGCTTTGAAGCCTGTTATTTATCGAGATTTCAAAACATCAAACATATTACTTGATGCAGTACGTATCTTACTCCTTAGGATCAACATCTTATATTTGCTGTGCTTCTAACGATTTTAACCAATAATTCCCATTTTCAGGACTACAATGCAAAACTATCAGATTTTGGACTTGCCAAAGATGCTCCTGATGAAGGCAAAACCCATGTTTCTACTAGGGTTATGGGTACATATGGCTATGCTGCTCCCGAATATGTAATGACCGGTGAGTCCTATTTGGTTTGATCCATGTCCTTCAGTTTGAATTATTCAATGTTTACATCTTTGTTGATTTGCTTCCTATGAAACTCCTTAAGGTCACTTGACATCAAAGAGCGATGTTTATAGTTTTGGGGTGGTTCTGCTTGAAATGCTGACTGGGCGACGATCTATGGACAAAAACCGCCCAAATGGTGAACACAACTTAGTGGAATGGGCAAGACCACATCTCCTTGACAAAAGAAGGTTTTACCGGTTACTTGATCCGAGGCTTGAGGGCCATTTCTCAATCAAAGGTGCTCAAAAGGTGACTCAGCTTGCTGCACAGTGTCTTAGCCGTGACCCCAAGATTAGGCCAAAGATGAGTGATGTTGTCGAAGCACTTAAACCACTTCCGCATCTCAAAGACATGGCAAGCTCTTCTTACTACTTCCAGACAATGCAAGCGGAACGTTTGAAAAATGGGTCAGGTCGATCTCAGGGAGGAAGTGGATTTGGATCAAGAAACGGGCAACACCAACCCGTGTTTCGAACACTGTCTAGTCCTCATGGTCAACATGGTTCTTCGCCTTATCGACATCAGATTCCTTCTCCAAAGCCTAAAGGAGCAACTACATAGCTCTTGCGTGGTGGACAAAAGGTACAACAAACAAAGCTAAAAGGCTCAAGCTTTTATCGTTTTTAAGCGGCAAGGAGATATTTTTAACCGATTTTACGGTAACTCTTTAATCGATTAATGTAAAAAACGATGGAGAACGGTGAATCCAATTGGGTTGTGTATGGAAATCTGATTTTGTCTTCCATTGCTTAAAGCTTCTTCCATTGACACATGGTAGAAATGTGATTAATGACAAAAAAATCTTGACATTTTACAGCATCGCATGTTCATCTTCTATCTCGTATTAGAATTTAGAAAACAATTTTTACGTCTTCCTCTGTTGCAGGACAATGCGTTTGTGAGGCCGATGATTGAAAATGATGTTTTTTACAGGCTTAATTAGTCTTGTTGCTGTTCAAAACCTACAAGTCATGCTTGTTACTTTTCTCACTTTCAGGTTTGATTTATGTTGGCTTTTTCTTGTAACAAGAACTTTTTCCTTACAAGAGGTTGTCAAGAGCTCTGGATATTTAAGTTGAATCCATAAAAAAAAACAAAGTAATGGACTGAAACAAATCGGACAAAATCAAATCTTATGAAACAATAAAAATCTGACCAACTAGACAAAATGCTGTAAGAATCTCTCAGAAATATCCACTAAAGAACTTGGAAGTGGAGCAGAGTAATTTTAGCATACAGAGAATAAAAAGAGAGAAAAAGTAAAAAGGACCTTAATGGTTCTTCATCTTCAAGAGATGATCCTTTCAATAGTATTTTTTTCTTTTATTTTCTACAAAATCCCAACACCGAACAAAAAAAAACAAATGAAAGATTGTTTAGCAAACCAGACAGAGATTTGTCCAAAGATTTGAAGACGAAAACGAAATAACTATTCTACCCACTTTCAGGGCCCATTTGGTATCTTCTCAAGGCTTGAGAGCGAGAGCAATCCCAACCTTAGCACTCTTCTCGATCGCCCTAGAATCAACCTCTCCAGAAACGGTGAAGAACGACTTTGGACGCCACTCATGTTGGATCAGTGCGTTAGCCACACCAGCATTGTTCACTCGTGCCTTCACTGTGGTCAATGGGTCAATCGCGTGTTGAGTCCCAACAGTGATGGCATTCTCTTTCGTTGTGAAGTTGTGGCTAATCTCAGCTCCAACCACAGTGTTGGTCAACGGGTTCACAATCTGGTAGTAGGATGCGTTCAGTTTCTCACCTTTGTCATTCCTGAAAAAAACAGTTTAAAGAAACAACTCTGTTTAAAACCAGTAGCATTATAAGCTCTAAGTCATCATTTCATAATTCATATGGAGGGAGGCACTTACAGAATGAGGGAAGCAATCAAATCATCCTTGGTGAAGTTCAAACCAGCATTGAAATGTTTGAAGTTGCCAGATTCAGTGTTGAAGGCCACATCAGTACCAAGAGCCAGAACATTGGATCCAACCACACCGGAGAAATTGACAATCGGGCTAGCTGTGAATCCAACGCTGGTAGAGATAGCAGCGTAGTCATGGAAATACTGAACCTCAGCCTGTTCAGAAAAGAACACATAACAGTTATCCCCAACATATCAAACTGTTAAAAAACCTATGGACAGAAAGAAAAGATGCTGGTGAAGTTATATACCTTTCCAGATTTGTGATCAGGTAACTTAGCCTGAACAATTACTTTCAGTCCAGGGGCAGGCTCATCAAAGGTAAGAGTGGTCAACAGCTGAAATTATATACACAGAAATAATCAATTGAATACTCCAGTAGCAATCAGCAAGATCATATAGTTACTAGAAGCAACAAAAGCAAAAGTCTACTTACAGAAGAATCAGTGGAAACTTTGACATCAGCAGTGTAGTTCTTGTTCTTCACTTGGGTAGCTACATCACCCAAAAAGACGCTTCCTTTGTTTGTTCCCGTTGTAGTGATCGCCTATAACCAGTTGACACAAGAAAGAGTTAAGTTCGTGTAATAACAAGCTACAGCCAAAATGTGAAACACCAGAGTTTCAATCAAAGATGCTAAAACAAATCAATCCCAAGAGATAAACAAAGTTAAAATCCAAACAGAAAACTACACAAATCTCACTATCAATGCTTAAAACTCAAGAAATCTGAAGACAAACAAAACCCATCTCACCAACAAAAAAAAAATTCAAAAAGAAAAACTTACAACACCGGTTGAAGAGTAAGTGGTAACACTGAATTTCTGGTCTCCTTGGTAGTCCTTGTACAGAAGATCTACAATATAACATTCAAAAAGCTTTATCCTTGATAGACATTTACCAGATCCAAGATAAATTGTCAAAAATCAGCTAAACAACGAGTGACCCAAACATTGAAACCCAGAGAACACAAGTCTTATAATCTATTCAAATAAACGAAACAGATAGCATAAAATCGACGGAAACAACACACAGAGATTATCAATCAGCTCGATTAAAGATACATCCACACAAATTTCAACGACCTAAGCACGACTGATAGAAACAGAAATAGAACCAAGATTAAGAAACCCTAAACGATTCAACAAAAACCCAGATCAGAAAAACAGCTCAAATGTTTAGGAAATCTCAAGAACACTGTCACATTCGCGTCACAAAGAGAAGGAAAAAAAAAGGAGACCATACCTCTGGCTTTTTTGCCGATTTCGGTGTAGAGTCCTGGACCTTTAACCATGATTGCTTCTGGAAATATCGAACAAAGTTGTCAAGATTCAGAAGTTGAGGAGAAGAAGAGTAATGGAGGATTCTGGAGAAAATGTGGCCTTGTGTTCTTGTGTATATATAAAGGGGAAGAAGAAATGGTAACCCTAAATTAATTAATTTATATAATATATTCTATTTTCCCTGCTTATCAAGCAAAAATATCTCAGCCGTTAGATTAATTTTACTTGAGTCGGTGTCCCCTCTTTTTAACCGTTGATTATTTATTCCCCACTCTCCAAGGCATTTTTTATATTTTATTTTATTTTCCTTTTCTTGTTTTATTTTTTATTTGATTTTTTCCATTTTTTATTGCGTGGCACGCAGGCCGTGTTCTCTAGTTTTCTTCCTCCTCAAAATTTCCATTTTAATATAATTTTTTTATTTTATTTTATGTTGAGTCTTTGACAATGTCTATTTCTTTTCTCACAGTTAGATGAACCACCTGAATTGTTGTTATTAAAATTTGGATTAGATTTTTACTCCATATATGTTTTTACTAATGTGATTTTTTTTTTGAAATGGTGTTCTCTTATATTTACTTCTATATATCTATTACTACCTTTTAAAAAAAAATATGTCATCAAAAATTTGATTTTACTAGTTGACATGTTTTTTTTTTCTAATTTGATATCAGTATAAAAATTATTTACAATATTCAAAGAGAGTGGTTGACATTAGCTTAATAAATTCAAACATCTAAAAATTTCAAGACTAAAGTACCATATAAATCCAAAATTAAGAGCCTATAAAACATGTCATATTCATGTTTTTTTTTAACATGTCATATTCATAGGTCCAATAGAAAATAATATGCCAAAGTTGTTGGTAAGGCAATTACCATTCCAAAGATCACCCTGAAAATGCAAAACAATAAAAACCACAAAAATAAAATTTCAAAAAATAGTATTAAAATAAATAATAGAAGACACAAAAATTCAAATAACCAATATTTTTTTTTTTACCCAGTACTAATGATCTCGGGATGAAGATTATACTCTTTTGCAAAAACAAATGGCACTACTCCTTGAGGCAATGCAGCCTACAACACAATAAATCAATCGACCAAAATATATGACAGCTTTTATTATTAATGGATCATTAATTTTATTTATTTTACCTGTAATATTGCGACTTTGAAGAGAGTACTTCTTAATCTGATGCAAAACGCAGAAGCAATCATAAGAGCAGGTCCTAATACGAACTTGAGGAGCATTGTTATAATCGCCATTTTTGTTCCACATGCTATGATACTACTTTGTGATGCCATGAAAAGACCTGTTTCATTTTTTGTTAAATTAAATTTCCAATTATGAACTTTATATTTTTGTATATGTTTTGAATGTATGTAGATATTTAGCTTACCTAAGCTGAACATGGCCATTCCTAAGCCTCCATCAGATAATAAATGTATTGATTTATCAATCATCTCAGGCAAATTCCATCCCAATCTATCGATAAAACAAATAAAAACATGAGTAACATTTGATGTTATGAAGTATAAACTATAAAAAAATATTGGTAATCTTAATAGGTGGAATATCACTTCACTATCACATAACGATTTTTTATTTATTTTTAATGAATTTGTAGACGCGGAAATTGATCAAACAGAAAGCTTAAAATAGGAGAAGCTCACTACTAAATTATCGCTTTTCTTTTTGAAAAAGAGAAAAAGATTTGTTTGAATATGTATGATGATAAAGATTGAATCTTTACATGTGTAAGATGATTTATCAAAAAAGATTGAACTCTTAGATATAAGATGAATTTTGTTTTCACACCTGAAATGTAAAGTAGCCCAAATGATTCCGATCAATGTTGCGTATGTATTAGGATTGATTATAAGCTTTCTCCAAGCCTTCAATAGAATCTTCATAGTTCCAATAGATCTTGTTCTCACTATTGCTACTTCTTCTTCGTTTTCTTCTTTTGGCTCTTCCTCTATATTAGCCTCTTCATGATCGTTGCCTTGTTTTACAAGAAACCAAGATTTATTTAGGGTAAATCATGTTAAAGGAAGTTACGTTCTTATATCGAAAAAAACAGAATGATTTTTAGTTACCTGTATGTTCTAGGGAAGGTCCAGATGAAGGTAACGCCCTTGCGGCATTAAGCTCGAACAAGAAGAGCAAGATGCTGTACCAAATCAAGCTTTGCAACACAACAATCTGCTCCAAGATGCTCGCAGCTTCATCTCCATAGATGGCACTCAAGATTGGGATTCCAAGAATGAGAGTGTTTGGCAACACCGATATAGATAAACCGGTTATGAGCCAACCCAATTTTCCTCCTCTTCCTCCTGTTGGATGCCAGAATCTTAAAACCGCGGCTAATACAACAACGGCTAAGATTTTCTGGAGAATGTCAGAGAGAATGAGTTTAGGGCTCATCTTATAGGGGTTGTTTTGAGAGATTATTTGAAAAGAAAGCAAAGGGATTGAGAATTTGGCGACGAATTTGTTGATGCCTGCGCATTGCTCGGGTGAGAAGAGCTTTATATGTTTTGCAGAGAGGAAACCTAAGATCATTGAGACATAGAGAGGAACAGTTGCTGAAACAACATGGTAGATATCGAGCCAGGAGATCATGTTTTATCAAATTCTACAATACCAAAAAAAAAAAAAACTAGTTGTACAAATTTGAAGGAAAATCGAAGGAATAGTTTCTTCCAAATTAATGGAAAGAAACTGTGTTTGATCTTACGGCATATATATGGGTAAAGTCGATGCCTTTTGTTTTCTTTTGTTCAAATGTGGAACTCTTGAATTTCAAGGTTTTTGATTCCACAATGGAATTTTTGTTTCAAAGGGGAAAAATGTAACAAAAACTCTGGGTTTAATTTATTTTTCTTATTTGTTGAAAGAAGAAAATTAGCCCTTTAATTAGAATTCTTGTTGAGTTGGGTTTGCCTAAAATCATCAATTACTGTGGTATTCATTTTCTTTGAAAAAATGGCATTTTCTTCTCACCACATTTATATAAGAAAAGAACAAAAAAAATCAAAAGATAAAAAAGAGAAGGCTGTTTAATTTGTCTTTTGCATGAACAAAGAAGAGCTAAATATGCTCCAACAGAACTTTAGTTCTATAGCCTTTGATTTTTTCTTAGCTTAGATACTTGAACTAAAAAAAATTTAAATCTACAAAGAAACTGCTCCCTTTTTAAAATGCATATATTATGTATAGCCTATTTTTTATATATTTTCTGACCATTTCTAGTCAAATAAGATATACAAGATGCCATCAAAATGTTTTTTCAAGTATTGATAATTCTTATATATGCATAGACATACATACACATAATCGAGGTCGTATACAGAATAATTAACTAGCTAGCCGATATTTTTCACTAAAGATCATATAGGCATATGATATGAGAATAAAAACCAAAAGAATAAAGAAGTGAATTGAGAAGGAAGTAATCATGAAGCATAATATTTGTTTGTTTCTAAAACTGGTTTGAAGATTGAGAAATAAGCATTTTCCTTTATAAACATATACAGATAGTTTTGTGCTTTTTCGCTAAAAATTTGGAAACTGTCTCTTTCTTTTAAGTTTGCTTCTAACAAGAAGAACGCAAATGCTTACCATTTTAGGTTGAACCGAGAAACTTTGGAACATTTGAAAGCTAAATTTGTCTGTGAAAACGAATCAAAGCCTCATGAAGTTCCTTTTGAATATGTTAGCAACAGTACTACTTTTTAAATATAAATATATAAATTTATATGCCAATTAAGAACGTTCAAAATGATTTTTATAGAAGTTTTAGCATTCTTACGCCGAAAAATGAATAATATTTGCTTATATTTGTACGGAAAAATAAACTAAAAACATTTCTATTTGTATTCATATATATATATATATATATATATATAAGAACTTAAAAAATCAATATTAATCCCATAGAGAATGAAATGTTAGTAACCATATGAAAGGTTCACAACCCACAAGAAATACGCTTCTTAATTCTTAATATACAAGTCTAATAAACACAAAATCAATAACCTTTATGAATAGAGCAACATAGCATGTGACATTTTCTATTCAAACAATAGATCAAAATAATGACAAACATATCCAAAATAGGTAATACTCAAAACTAGTATATAATTTAAGAAATATAATAAATCGTCCTATTTTTATCCCAAATAAAAACCAAACAAAGAAAAAAATTGGGAGCTAAAAATAATAAAGTTTAAAATAAAAACATAGAAGCCATCCACAAATAAATAATGACGGCTCTCCATCCTTAGCGGTACATTTCTAAAATTGGAGATTACTTCTTAATCAAGTTTATTTAAACACCAAACCTTCACATTTTAAAAAATTCGCAGTACGATTCATCATCTAGAGGCTTTAGGCTCTTAAAGATAAAAATAGAAAAAAACGACCTAAAGCCATGTCGAAAGCTTAGTAATTCTCCATTTAAATCTTAACCCCTTAAGAAAACAAGGGAAAAGAAAAAAAGAGATTGTTTAAATATTAAAAAAAAAAACTATTTTGTGAGAAAGAAATTTTTTAAAAAACAAAAAGAAAGAAAGATGGAGATGGCTAGGCTGTCAAAGTTGATGTTTATGTTTTGTATTGCCGTTCTGATTCCGACCATTCGAGGTAACATTTCTGAGCTGGACGAGTATTGGTCGAAACGAGCCGACGAAGCCAGAGAATTCACTCTTCAAGCTTACCATTCTGATCCTTACGAAATCGTCGATCACTTTCATGAGCGTCATTACGAGTAAGTCAAGTCAATACCTGATTTTGAACCCAAAATTATTACTGCTGATTCTTGTTTATTATCTGGTAGATAAAAAGTTTTTGTCCTTACTATTTTTGGTTTGGTGTATATATGTATATAGCAACTCTACTGATGTTACAACGGCTGAGGAAGAAGGTGATGCGAAGCCTGAAGAGGAGGAAAAAGAGTTCATTGAAATGCTCGGAAGCTCGACGAACAGCACCAGACGAAGCTTAAGAGGTAAAGGTAAAGGCAAATGGAGTAAGCTAAAGGGACCTTGTACCGCAAGTAACCCGATAGATAAATGTTGGCGTTGCCGATCGGATTGGGCAAAGCGTCGGAAGAAGCTTACACGTTGTGTCCGAGGGTTCGGTCACAGGACGACCGGAGGAAAACGAGGACGCATCTACGTGGTTACAAGCAACCTCGACGAAGACATGGTGAACCCTAAACCCGGGACATTGCGTCATGCCGTGATTCAAAAGGAACCTCTCTGGATCATTTTCAAGAACGATATGAGCATTCGGTTAAACCAAGAGCTTCTGATTAATAGCCACAAGACTATCGATGCACGAGGAGCTAATGTCCATGTAGCCCATGGCGCAGGGATCACAATGCAGTTTGTGAAAAATGTCATCATCCATGGACTACACATTCACCACATTTCCGAGAGTAGCGGTGGTATGATCCGAGACTCGGTAGACCATTTTGGAATGAGGACTAGAGCTGATGGAGACGGTTTATCGATTTACGGTTCGTCTAACATTTGGCTTGATCATATTTCGATGTCGAAATGTCAAGATGGACTCATCGATGCCATTGTTGGATCCACTGGAATTACAATCTCCAACTCTCACTTCACTCACCACAACGATGTAAGCACTCGTCAAATTTATTCATATACTTTAGATTCCATCTATTGATCATTGATATTAACCAGTAGATTTGCATTTTTGGGGATATTTGTTTATGTAGGTGATGTTGCTTGGTGCTCAAAACACGAATGAAGCAGACAAGCATATGCAAGTCACAGTTGCTTATAACCATTTTGGTAAAGGACTTGTACAGAGAATGCCAAGGATCCGATGGGGATTTGTTCATGTTGTGAACAACGACTACACTCACTGGGAGCTTTATGCGATTGGAGGTAGTCAAGGTCCTACGATTCTCAGCCATGGAAACCGATTCATAGCTCCTCCACACAAACCTCATTACAGAGAGGTAAAATTTGGTTACATTGCACCAAATAAAAGTCAAGTATTAGATTGTGTACTTATAAAAAAATAAATAAATGCAGGTGACAAAGAGAGATTATGCTTCGGAGGATGAGTGGAAACACTGGAACTGGAGATCTGAGAAAGATGTATTCATGAATGGTGCTTATTTCAGACAATCTGGTAATCCTCAATACAAATGTGCACACACAAGACAACAAATGATCAAACCGAAACATGGATTGGCTGTTTCAAAGCTGACCAAATATGCCGGAGCACTTGATTGCAGAGTCGGGAAACGCTGTTAGAAAAATTCTTTTTAATTTACTATAATGTTTTAAAGACAATTTTTTCAACATTTTGATTTTTTGCTTCTAATCTAGTTCAGGGAATAAATACTTAAGGGGTGAAAATGATTAAAAAAAATCTAATTTGTAAAGATATTTTTGTGTTATGGAAAACAAGTTATATAAAGAGTAAACCATAGCAGCCGGTGCTTGGACAATACATAATAGTAATACACATTTGTTTTTTTTTTCAAGCAACCAAAACTTGTATATCAATATTATTTTGGTTTTTTTGACCCGAATATATGGCGTAATCGTTTATTTTAATATCATCGTTGTACTACCATTCAGATTAAAATCTGCATAAAACATGTTGGTAAACAAAAAGTTCTTAAAACATGTTATAAAAAGAAATGATGATGATGATATTAGAGATTTTTAAAAACTAAATATGTTTTTCTTAATATAAAAATCTCAGCAGAAATTGGACTTGTAATCATATAATCAACATGTTCCGATTTGGCGAGCAAGTCTGATTTGTTATGTGCTTAATTGCTTTATTGCCAAAGATCTCACCTATAAATGATAATTATACGGCATGACAAACTAAGATATAATAAACTAATAATTGTTAAATATGAAAACAAATATGTATGAAAATGAAAAAAAAAATTAATAATAACAAAAACCAAGATTCCTAGTACTCGTTCCCATATAATCCGGTGAAGAAAAAAAGATTTCAGGGTCAAAACAGACATTTCCTAAATTATGTATACAAATACTTTCTATCAAAGATTCAAAGTAAACACACAAAACCATCCTACGATTTGAACATAAAATTCAAATTAAACACGTAAATTTTTAATTGCTATTTGTGGAGTTTATATAAATGAGTCCATGAAATTGACAATTCGTGAGTTAAATATATATCACTAATTCAACCAGTGGAAAGTAAATAAAACAGATCCCAAAAACCGGACCGGGTTATAGTAAACCGATAAAACAGAGAAAGCAAGAATATATAATAATATTTTAATAATGTGTATATTTCCGAATTTGCCCCTTTGCGAAGACCGAAACGGATAAAAAAAGAATCCGCTGTTTGAAAAAACACAGCCCATAGGAAAAAAAAGAATGGCCCCTGGTTTTGTAATCGATAATGGTATCATCTCTATATCTTCTCTTTTCTTCTTTTTCCCTGTTTTTATATCTCATTCTTCTCTTCTCTAATCCATTCCCAGATTCACACTTTTGATCTTGATTTCGTATACACAGGAACTTTTTTTTTTGGTGAGATTTTTATGGGGTTTGAGATGAAACCAGAGAAAGAGGTTATGGAATTGATTTCGAGTAAGAACCATTGTATGTCTAGTCCCAATTCTGTTAATAATAAGAAGAAGAAGAACAACAAGAACAAGAATAAGAAGATGATGATGACGTGGCGACGGAAGAAGATTGATTCTCCGGCGGATGAGATCACGGCGGTGCGGCGGTTGTTTAATACTTGCAAGGAAGTGTTCTCTAATGGTGGTCCTGGTGTTGTTCCTTCTGAAGACAAAATTCAACAGCTACGAGAGATTCTTGGTATACAATTTTTACTAGTTTTTTGAATTTCTTGTTTTGGGTTTCTATAAAGTTTCGATTTTTGATTGGATTTTGGTTTATACAGACGATATGAAACCAGAGGATGTCGGTTTAACTCCGACCATGCCGTATTTCCGACCAAACGCCGGAGTCGAAACTCGGTCTTCGCCACCGATTACGTATCTGCATCTACACCAATGTGATCAATTCTCGGTAATTCCCACTAAAAAACACTTTCTTACTTGTATTGTTCTCTTTCTTGTGGCGTAAGTAATCGAGGCTAGGGTTTTATCGCAGATTGGGATTTTCTGTTTGCCGCCTTCTGGTGTTATTCCTCTTCATAACCATCCAGGGATGACAGTTTTTAGTAAGCTTCTCTTTGGTACAATGCACATCAAGTCGTATGATTGGGTGGTTGATGCTCCAAGTAAGCTTACTTTACTCCCAAGAAAACTTTGTGAGCTGTGAAACTTGTTTGTTACTGTTATCTTGCAGTTAATAACTGACTGGCTTATTAGGGTTCATTAGATATTCGAATGTGGATCGTCATAGAAGTAACAAAAGGAGATCACTTTTAACTTTTTATCTCGAAGATCAAATATCCCAATTTAGCTAAACATTATAGGCTCTTGATTGGTAATACCCAAAAATGGTGAACATGTCGGTGATGAACTTTTTTACGTTTTCATGATTTAGAACATTCATCTATATACTATAGTAAGATTTTTCCAAAATATACATTAAAAACAAATGATCATTAATCTACTAAAATTAGTTTTTAGCGTTGTATGATTATTTCACTGAAACTCTGTTCAGTTGTGTTTCTGTCATTACATCATTTGATTATACTACAATAATATAGTATGTACCATTCAAGCTCACAATATTGTCATTTACATAATGACTTTTTATATCGGTTATTCGGTCAGTCTGCAGCCAATTTTAAGGATTCTTTTCGCTTAATGTTTTGGTCATTCGATTCATCCGAAAATTTGATTCGTTTCCACATTCCGCAGTGTTACCAAACAAAGCAGTAATAGTCTCTGTTTTAGACTTGATGATTTAAAAAAAAATGAAATTGATTTGTCTTATCTCAAATGCAGTGAGAGATCCCAAAACCCGGCTAGCAAAACTGAAGGTGGACTCAACATTCACCGCGCCATGCAACGCCTCGATTTTGTACCCTGAAGATGGCGGGAACATGCATCGGTTCACAGCTAAAACAGCATGTGCGGTGCTAGACGTGCTTGGACCTCCTTACTGCAATCCAGAAGGCAGACATTGCACCTATTTCCTAGAATTCCCTTTTGACCAATTTTCATCAGGTCAGCTTTTTTTATTTATTTACTAATGATGATAGTCTTTACATACTTTATACTTAAGACAGATAGATTAAAAGTTTTGTTTTGTTTTGTTGTTTTCATCTGTGTTGTTGTATTCAGAGGACGATGACATTTTGAGAAGTGAAGAGGAGAAGGAAGGTTATGCATGGCTGCAAGAAAGGGATGATAATCCAGAAGATCATACTAACGTAGTTGGAGCGTTATACAGAGGCCCAAAGGTTGAAGATTGAGAGCTTTTTTTTATCCATTTCGAAGCACTTTCTTCTTTTTCTTAGATTTGAATTCTTCTTTGTACAAAAAAAAAGGAAAGGAAAACAGAAAAAAAGAAAAGGTACTCTTACTGTTTTTAGTCAAAATCTTTAGGTCTCTGTTCAAGTTTTTTTTCAATAGTAACCAAATAAAATAGACTATACTTAATATGAATCATTAGCCTTGGTGTTTAGAATTTGTTTCTAGTTTAAGTTTTGATTCGATTTTTTTTTTTGTTTTTGATTAATTTGAAGTTGATCTCCAGTTTTGATTCGACACAAAACCATTTTAACAAAAAATAAAACCAATATGTATTTCAACAGTAATTCGTTTGAGAATTTTTTTTTTTTTTGATCTTTTCGGTTCTTCTTTATCATAAATATTGGCCAGCATTGCAGACAGAAAATAAGAAAAAACTATGTTGTCCGTTGCAAACATTTTTTTTTACCAGTCATAAATTTTTGCCTACAAGTATACAACTGCAACAGATATTTGTCCATTCCAAAAACAGAATAAAACTATTCGTAAAAGAATTTATGTGCCTCGCTTGCTACAACTACTTCAAACCTAAATAATTAATCTTACTCTTACTTAGCTTGGATAACTTCGAATTAATATATATGGATTATGATTTATGAATATACATCTTGAGTTTTCTGTCAACTGTTAGAGAACTAAATCAATTTTTGCGTTGTTTTTTTTTTTTCCTTTTTCTGTTGAGGTTGTATGTTGTAGTAAGGGACAGACAGAGTACTACTTGGATATATATTAATTCCGCAAAATGATTAAATGATATAGCCATTTGATATTTAAAAAGTAACTAGATAACAACCCGCACTATGTGCGGGATGAAGTGATTCAAGTAAAATTATTATGATTAAATTTTTTATGCAGGATCCAAGATCCGTTTGTGTAAAACAAAACATGTAATAATTTTTTTATTTTCTTTTAATTCAAATTTGGGACTATTTCGTATATGAATACGTTTTACCCGTGAAATATTTGAACCTGGAATAAAGCTTCAACGTGAAAAGAAAATATTGACGAAATGTTACCATTTATGCTAATATGTCTTTCTATATGTTTTAAAGATGTCGAGAATGATATATAAAAAAAAAAAAAGATGTCGAGATATAAGTATAAGAAATCTAAAAATTTATCAAAGATGAGATTCGATAGTTTTCAAGTTAAGATTTTGTAGTGTTCCAAATTATGATTCTTAGATTATGAATGGATTACTAAGAAATAGTTATAATGTGGCCAGATTTTAGTTTATAAATAAATGTGGTTAGTTTTTCTTCGAAAAGTTAGAATCCCTAAAAAAAATCGGATTTTAAGTATCGTAACATATATTGAAAAGAGATTATCTTATGTATTTAAGTACAATAGATATATAAATTTATGAATGATGTAGAGATTTTGTAGTTTTGAATTCGAGATTCTTGAACCAAATGTATATATTTTACTCCCTCCGTTTCACAAAGAGTGTCGTTTTAAGGTTTTATTTTTGTTTCACAAAGAGTGTCGTTTTAGGTTTTCAATGCAAAATTTAATGATTTTTTATGTTTTATGACTATTAGTATTCTGCAGATTGTTTTACTATTGGGCAGATTGTGTTTAAGTATATAGGTAATGATGTTTTTGTTTAGAAAAAACAAAAAATTTAATGTTTTCTTAATCTGTGTGCAAAACTCTAAAACGACACTCTTTGTGAAACAGAGGGAGTATTATTTAAATATAAACATAAGTATAAATATAAATTAAATACAAAGATTGTTTACCCATCGGATTGAGAAGATTTATATAAATGTATATAAAGAAAAATATAAATATAAAGATTTATTAGTATAAGATAAACAAAAAGTATATGTTTTTTAATTATTAAAAAATAGATCATTAATATAAATAAACAAAGCTCTCGTGAATTTTTGTTAAATATAAATATGAATATTAGTTGCCTAATTATTTGCTTTTTAGTTATAATTTCGTTTTTTTTTATTTATGTGATATATGTATATATTAAGACTAATGGCAAAATCTGTAAATAGTCTAGTAAAATTTGGATAATAATTTAAATGGGTGGAAAATTACTCTGAAAGCGACACGTCAGCATGACAGTTTAGTTAATAACACGTCAAAGTAAGATTTATTTTTTTATAGTGCTTCTCTATTAATATATAAGGGATTATATATTCAACAACATAACAGTTAACCGGATAGTTGGTATAAAGAAAAGTTGAATTAAAACCGGCCGATATGCTCAATTTCCACGGAGAAGAATAATTAGTAGTACTACTAGCCTGTACATGACGGACATGTACTATGATTCCTTCAACTTAATCCATATTTTCTGCGAATTTAAAAATCGATTAAATTTGAATTCAAATATCGTGGATAATGCATAGAGATGGGAGCCTTATTCCAACAATTAAAAAAAAATAGTAATAAAATAATCATTCATTCAATGACCAATCTTAAACCATTGACCTAAATTTCAAAATAGAGAATCTCCAAGTTGTCTTTAAACTTATAAATCTTTCTTTTATTGTTTAATTTCAATGTCTAAATCCAAACCATTGACCTTAGGTCAGTATTAGATATTTATACAATCTATTAGCAAGTTGCTAGTCTATTTTCCTATTAAAGACTAGCAAATATACGAAACCCTTCGTCACAATGCAAATGGAAAAACATTTTATACTAACAAAAACAAATTATTCACTTATTTATATTTTATTAATAACATGCATTACATGGATTTAAATCTGAATAATGACATAATTACATTACAGATATAAACCTAATTTTATCCAAAATTTGTTCACGTATCTAACTATTTTCAGAAAAGATTGTAACTATGATCATATCTAAAACTTATGTAAAAAAAAAAAAAAAACTTAATTAATAACAAACCAAGTCTATCAAAGTTCAGGTCAAGATCGCTGATCTGTCTTTGCGAGTCTCAGAGACATGTAAGTTGACCCTTTCGTTCACTCATTGTCTGAAAAATAAAATAAAATAAATCGTCTTACTTGCAAATTTATTAAACAGTGCGGCCATATATATGAACATAACTATTTACACTAGAGCTGATTAAACAAACTTATCGCTCAATTAGAAGAAAAATATTTAATACAGTTGACCAATGACTTTTTATTGTCTAAATAAGACTAAAAAGTTGATAATCTTTCTTTGTCTTATTATGGATGATTAAGCCATCGATAAGTTTCCACAGAATAATATTTAAATTTCATCACCACTCTTTAAAATAAATTTGACGGGGTTAGTTATCAGAAAACGAAACAGTTTTACATTTAAAAAATGGAAATTACGGTAGGTGCCATGGTAAAATGGCATCAATAATTTAACAAAATTTATCATAAAATAGTATGAAATTTCCATGTAGTTAGTAATTAATTTTACTTAGTTAATGTGGAGTTAATCATGTGGGACGTGCTAATGACCTAATGTAATATCTCAATACTAATTCAATAGTACTTAGCTGTTTAATCAATCAATTAAACAAAAGCCACATTGCGACCACGATTGTTTACTTAACCATATAATGAACTGTACACACATTAATAATCGTTATCAAAAAAGTCTTTTGTTTATACTAAAAAACGAAAAACAAATGGATGATGTAAGTTGAGTTGATCAAAATGTCTAGTAATATATATTTTTTTCTGATAAAAAATAGAAAAATCTGTGGGAGCTCAGATCCCCAAGAGAAAAAAAAATGGAAACTTGGATCGAGACCAAATTAAGTATTCAAGATTCAATAACTTGACTTATAATTTAGTAAATTTAATCATATTCACGAAAGAAAATTATTAAATGTTGTGCGATCAAAATTTTTAATTTAGTATTTTTCTTATATAGTTATGTACGCCACTACAAACAATTATAGTATTGATTTGAAATTAGAACTAATAAATTGTCCGGTTTGAAGAATTGGAGACAGGAAAGACAACAATTTGCTAGCTTATAGTACATTAATAAGAAAATGGTTAGCTACCTAATGTGTGTTCTCTTCGAAATATACTGATACTTGTGTTCGAGTAACGCTCATGTGTATAACTGTAAATAATAATTAAAAATATTACATTATATCTTGAGATTTGAAACTAAATTATGTACAAATCTTTATATAAGAGAAAGAACAAATAATGCATGTCTTTTGACGGAAAAAAATTGCATGTTTTTTTCAACGCCATGCAGCGTTACGTCACTGACGAAATTTGACAACTATCAACTATGTGAAGCATTTGACATTCGTATGTTGGTTGTAAAATGAAATTAAATGTAACACGAATATGATAATAACATTGGAAAATAAAAAAGGATTAATTTTCTTATTAACAAAGTCAATAGTTGACAAAATCATATAATTACCGTGTGTGACCTGCGTATTGACCGGTATACGCACCCTTTGGCCTACCATATGAACAAGGTTTACATACATATAACAATAATCAAATGCCTAATACTGTTATCAATATCTCTTGTTGCATGATTTGACTTTTAGATTTGTTTCTTAATGACTTGTTGTTGAATTATACTCGAATCTTTTTCAAATACTCGTTTTCAAACTTTGTTTTCCATTTGCACGAATAACCTTTAAATTTGTTTTATAATAGCATTTCCTTTTTGGTATTTTTGTAACTAAAATGGTAACACAAAATCTGAAGAATATATCGTTATTATGCAATTATGTCGATTATCAATCAGAATTAATTATCTATGTAAACTTGGATATACTGAATGGTATGTTTATGAATGTGCAAACTTGTACATCTACTGTATATGGAATATAAAACATTAAACATGTTTTTGATGAGGGAGGACTAATAAATACCCTTAATAAAGAAACAATATAAGATTTAAAGAGTTGACGAATGCTCATGTGATGTGAGGCCAAGAGATAGAAGAAGTCTTCTCCCATGAAGCTTCAATGACATATCCTTTCACATTATAGAATCTCTATTTGACGCCGTACATTTAGGCTCCTTCTTATAAGTATTGGTTTCATTTATTGCATTTGGATATTTAAATAATACTCTGATCTAATAACCAAGATCCATATATATAGACTTTACCTACATTTGGTTCAATTAACAAAAAGGAAGTTTATACTTTCTGTTAAATTCATAACAGTCTTCATGTTAAAAATTCTTCATTAGATTTAATTTCAATACTGATGCGTATTCAAAATTTATTCAGATATGCGTATTCAAAACTTATTTATATACGCTTTTAGAAAACGTATAATTAAGAAATCCTACTAAGTTTGATCATTTGTTTTCGATGTACTAGTTGTAATATTTTTTTAATTGACCCTATTTAAACGGAGAAGTAGTATTATTACCAACAAAGTCAGGAAATAATTTCTTTTTTCGCTAGTTAGTTTTAAAATAAATAACACAGATATGATTGGAGGAAAAGGTACTGAAATTCAATAAAAATAAAATAAAAAATTGAACATGTTGAAGTGTTGACGCTTTGGGTCCCCTCGAAGAAACTACACACAAACACAAATGGCTATAAGTAAAGGGTTTGATAATATGTTTCTGAAGGAAAAAAACAGAAAACAAAAAGAAAAGACAATTCAAACAAGAAGAAGAAGACGAAAATCTTCTGATATTTCTAACAATGGAGGTTCTTTTGAAATTACCCACTTCAGAGTCTCCTCTTAAGGATAAAGTTTTTGGATCTGTTCAAGTCCATGAAGCTAGTAAGGTAAATACCACCAACTCTATATATGCATATACAAAATCTTATACGTATAAGGAAGGAATTAAGATCAAAAAACCCAAAAAAAAAAAACCGTTCTTATTCTTTATCGATGTGTTTTATGCTTTAACATAATTCTTGTATCCCGAGATGGCTCTTCCCCTCTATAATGGCCTTCTTTATCGTAATTGATTTACCATGTTCATTTTGTATGGAAACAAGAAGATTATATTAGTTATCTATCTAGAAATATTGAATAATTCGTTAATTAGAATTAAGAATGGATCGGTATGATGTGTTAGAACCTTAGAATAAAGAACAATTTTAGATTTAGTTGAGTAACTAATCAACTTGTATATTCAATAATCTTAATTAGGATGATGGTGATCACCAAGAACTTGAATCTGCCAAGGCAGAGATGAGCGAGGTGAAAGAAGAGAACGAGAAGCTTAAAGGGATGCTGGAACGAATTGAAAGTGACTACAAATCTCTCAAGCTAAGATTCTTCGACATAATTCAACAAGAACCTTCAAACACCACAACTAAAACTCAAAACATGGTTGATCATCCCAACCCAACGACGACGGATTTGAGTTCTATTGACCAAGAACGCGAGCTTGTATCGCTTTCACTAGGGAGAAGAAGTTCTTCCCCAAGTGAATGCATCCCCAAAAAAGAAGAGAAAACGGACGCAATCAGCGCAGAAGTCAACGCTGACGAAGAGTTGACCAAGGCTGGCTTGACCTTAGGGATCAATAATGGCAACGGCCGTGAAACGAACGAGGGTTTATCTATGGAGAATCGTGCCAATTCTAGCCATGGCTCGGAAGAAACTCCAGGAGAAACTTGGCCACTAGGTAAAGTTACGGGGAAGAGAAGCTCTCCAGCACCAGCCTCAGGTGGCGATGCTGATGGTGAGGCCGGTCAACAAAACCATGTTAAGAGAGCTAGAGTTTGTGTTAGAGCAAGATGTGACACGCCAACGGTACGTTCTTTAAATTATACATTTAAGTTGATCTATAGCGTTAACTAAACAATTTGACTATTTATATATGACTAATGATTTGGACATGTTTATTATAATTGTATAGATGAATGATGGTTGTCAATGGAGAAAATATGGACAAAAGATTGCGAAAGGAAATCCATGTCCACGGGCATATTATCGCTGCACGGTTGCACCTGGATGTCCCGTTAGAAAACAGGTAATATATCTACCAAATAATCAAATATATCTTATGGTTTTACAGTTCTGAAAGAATAGTAAAGTGAACCATATCTAGCATTACTTAGTTTGCTAAGGTTTTAATTTTAGTTCATATGTCATATTTTACTATATATTTTGAACAATTCTATAGAACATTTGTGACCAATGTACAAAAAAAAAGATATGATCTAATTAATATTTGTCCCAAATTATGTATGTTTTAGGTCCAAAGATGTGCAGATGACATGTCTATACTAATCACAACCTATGAAGGAACACACAGCCATTCTCTTCCACTCTCGGCCACCACCATGGCTTCCACCACCTCAGCCGCTGCCTCCATGCTCCTCTCGGGCTCTTCCTCCTCATCAGCCGCTGAAATGATCGGAAATAACCTCTACGACAATTCAAGATTCAACAACAACAACAAATCCTTCTACTCACCCACACTTCACTCCCCATTACATCCCACCGTCACTCTAGACCTCACCGCTCCACAACACTCCTCATCGTCTGCTTCTTCATTGCCTTCTTTAAATTTCAACAAATTCTCAAACTCTTTCCAAAGATTCCCATCCACAAGCCTAAATTTCTCTTCTACTACATCAACATCATCAAACTCGTCTACTTTCAACCTACCCGCGATTTGGGGTAATGGGTATTCTTCTTATACTCCATATCCTTACAACAACGTCCAATTTGGGACGTCCAACCTAGGAAAAACAGTCCAAAATAGCCAGTCCTTAACCGAAACCCTAACAAAAGCGCTTACTTCCGACCCAAGTTTTCACTCGGTGATCGCTGCTGCGATCTCAACTATGGTCGGATCCAACGGGGAACAACAGATCGTCGGTCCACGGCATTCAATTAGCAATAACATTCAGCAAACCACCGCGACGAATAATAACAAAGGATGTGGAGGCTATTTTAGCAGCTTATTGATGTCTAACATAATGGCGAGTAATCAAACGGGTGCGGCTATGGATCAACCATCGTCGCAACTTCCTCCCTTCTCTATGTTCAAGAATTCTTCTTCTTCGTCATCCACGACTAATTTCGTGAACAATGAAGAGAAAAGCTAGAAAATTCTTCTTGTCTTTTGGGGTGATTTTTTTATTAGAGGGTTTAGTATTGTATCAAAAGATGTTGATTCTTGTTCGTTCGTTTCTCAAAAGTGTTCATTGTTTTTCTTTTTAAGTTAGGAGACCATGGAACCGAATTCAAATAAACCAAACTAAATGTACAATTTAAATGTTTTCTTGTCTAGCAAATATTATTTTCTACTTTTGAGTTTGATTGAGACGATACAATGATTTAATCTATCTACTAGAGTAATCAATAATCAAACAGAAAATTACAATACTTAGTCAACGATACAATTTGGTTTCAAATTTCAAGAAAATTACAGTTTGAAAAAGAAAGAAAGAGAGAGAGAGTATTAAAAAAAAAGTGAAAAATATAAACACAGTAAAATTAAGGCCAAAGTCTCGGGGAGCAACTTTCGAATTAAAAAGTGTTTGATGGATCTGATATGCTGATTCATCCTTAGTGGGCCTTAACAAATAGGCTTTAGTGACATATAACAAAAATGCCCAAAGGGATTATGTGATGTATCATAAAAATAGTGTGTTAACGTTTTGTTTTTATCTTTTAGATTTTGGTGATTCATGCAACTTTAGCTGTAAAGATTTTTGTGATAAGAAGAAAAATCATAATTGGAAAAAACATTCCGGTTTTATCTCCTAATTTCTCTATGAATCACAAATCGTCAAAATTTCCTATTTTTGTCCTATCTTATCCAATCAACATTCAACCTATAAATACTCACCAAGAAATTCATTTGACTCATATTACTTCGAATTCTTATTTGTCTTCTTCAACATGGCGAGAAGTTCTGTTTTGTTATGTTTAATTCTATTGGTTACATTAGGAGTTGTGATAAGTGTCACATTTGCCGACAACATTGAAGTGAAATCAAAAGATTTAGAGAGCAGTAAGAAAGATAAGAAGGTTGATCATGATAGTAAGGGAGGAGAAAATGTAGATGGTGCCGGTTCTGATGATGAAGACAACGATAAAAAGGACAAAAAGAAAGGGCATGATGTGCACAAAAAGGATAATCAACATGAAAACAAAGACAAGGATGATGAGAAGAAGCATGTTGATAAGAAAGATGATGATGATGAAAAGAAGCATAAGGATAAAAAGAAGGATGGACACAATGATGATGATGATGATGATGATACTGATGATGATACCGATGATGATGACGACGATGATGATGAAGATGAAGTTGATGGAGATGATGATGAGAAGGAGAAAATTGGGTTATACGAGCTCAAGAAGGGAAATCTAACGATCAAATTCACAAATTGGGGTGCTTCAATCATGTCTCTCCATTTCCCAGACAAAAATGGTTAGTGAACCAAATCACATTTATTGTTGGCTAAAATACAACTCATATTATATATAACATAGACATAATATATACCAAAATTAAATTATAATGTTTAATACGGATTTTCAGGAAAGATGGACGATATTGTTCTTGGATATGATAGCGTCAAATCCTACAAGGTATGTAGAAAATTATTTTTACCGGGTGTGTTATATTTTTAATGTGTTTTGAATTATATTATGTTTTTGTTATACTAATAAACTAATAATGTAATTTGTAATCACTATTTAGACCGACAAGGTGTATTTCGGAGCAACCGTGGGCCGAGTAGCAAATAGAATTGGAAAGGCCAAATTCAAATTGAATGGTAAAGAGTACAAGACAAGTGCCAACGATGGGAAAAACACACTTCATGGTAAATTAATTATGAGTGCCATAACACAATTAGATCAATTAGTTATGATTTATGCGAATAAGTGTAATGGATTAACATTTTTGTTAATTTAGGTGGCAAGAAAGGGTTTGGGGATGTTGTGTGGGCAGTTGCAAAACACAAGTATGATGGCAAGAAACCTCACATTGTCTTCACTTACACAAGTCCTGATGGCGATCAAGGTTCACTTTCTTTCACTTTTTTATTTTACCCAAAACTTTTGAAATGTACTATTTAAGGAAGAATCTAACGATTACTAGTTCCTTTTTTATATATCAATAGGGTTTCCCGGAGAACTCAATGTCACGGTGACATACAAACTTGTCAAAGACAATGAATTGAGTGTGGTGATGGAGGCAAAGCCTAAAGATAAAGCAACTCCGGTGAACTTAGCTCATCACAGTTATTGGAATCTTGGTGGTCATAATTCCGGAGATATTTTGTCTGAAGAAATTCAAATCCTCGGTTCAGGCTATACTCCCGTCGATGATGAGCTCATCCCCACCGGAAAAATCACTCCGGTGAAAGGAACAGCGTATGATTTTCTCCAACTCCGCCCTATAAAAGATAATATGAAGGATCTTAAGACAGGGTGAGTGGTAGCACATATATACTAGGCTAAAATATCATTTTTAGTATGATTAGTTACCTATATGATTGTTTTTTTCTATCTTGCAGATATGATATAAATTATTGCTTAGATGGTAAGGCGAAAAAGATGAGAAAGATAGTCGAACTCGTAGACAAGAAATCGGGGAGAAAAATGGAGTTATCCGCAAACCAACCAGGTTTGCAATTCTATACCGGAGGAATGTTAAAGGATATCAAAGGGAAGAATGGGGCGGTTTACCAAGCTTTCGGGGGATTATGTTTAGAAACACAAAGTTATCCAGACGCATTAAACCATCCGAAATTTCCTTCACAGATTGTCGAGCCAGGGAAGAAATACAAGCACACTATGCTCTTCAAGTTTTCTATTGTTTCATAGACTATTTTATATTTTGTTACATACATGATTACCTTTGGAACCATGTTCAATGGTTATATGAAGAAGAAACTAGTTACATTGTAATTTTGTAACAATTCTTAAACTATTATATAAATTTCATGATCTTAACGTGAATATTCCATCTTTTTATGCATAACTCATAAACACTATGTTTTCTTCTTGTTTTGATAGGTAATTTTGGTTATGAACTTCATCAAATTTTCGTTGTTCTATTTACTTTTTATCTGTAACCATATAACAATATAAGATCATAGAGGAAAATTCAGTGCCCTATGAATTTGATTAAGATCCGAAACCAGTTTGTGATGCATATAACTCCACTGAAGACGTACCTTAAGAGTTTGATATTTGTATCTGAGAGTAAGAGCCCCACCAACAAGAGTCAAGGACGTACCAATCTCAATAAGATGCTCACACCAAGTGTTTTCAAGAATCCTGACGTCCTTTTTTTTTATGCAAAGCATCTTCGTTTTTTTCTTTCGGTATAATACAAAGCATCTTTCAAAGAGTTTACTCATTAGTTCATCAAACAAATACCTTTCGGGCATATGTTGAGATGTCGCTCGTGGACATAGACTTTCTCGTCTTGGCTATTGTTATTTCAGTAAATCCAATTGTGATTAAAATAAAATAATAAAAATAACTATAATCCTGAGCTCTTTGGGAATTAGATCTTTTGAACGAAATTAATTAATTAAAGTAAATTAGAAGTTTGAGTTTGTGATGCGTACCAACTTTAACGATCTTAAAAGAGATATGACTTTGTATGCGCGTAAGAATAGTACTAATCGACCATAAATTGGTACATTTAAGATAAAAATTTATATATACAGTTACAAATTATTATTAGGAACAAGCAAAAGTATAAACCAATGTCCTCTACAACAAATTATGCAAAAAAAAAATCAAATTAAAATACAATTATGGCAGGTCAAGCTATTCGTTATGACGGTGTTTGTTAAATCAAATTAATGTAGAAAAGTAGAAAAGAGAACAATTTAGTAGTTGACCTATCCATTATCCATTAACTTAAACATGTGCACTTAAACCAAAATTCTTATACAAACCATATAAAATATACGAGAAACCCAAGATCTCACATGCCATTATCTAGCTATATATTCCATAAACCACGTATGTAAGTACGTACACGTATTGAGTGATGTCCGAAAAAATTGGTGGAGTTGACATATAATTTTGTGATCTGACCATAAATTTTAATTTTTACAATAACTTTCCTTTCTCCCTAAATCCTATACCCTATACACCAATAATTCGTTTCATTTACTTGGTAAAACAGAAAAGTTTAGTTTTAGTGGGTTTTTTTATTTATTTTTGATAAAGGGTATTCATTTTATGTTTTCTAAGTTTAGGTTTAGGGATATATCACTAGAGTTAAGAAAAACCATTGCCTAACAACTTAACCACCTCATAATTAATTGGATGCTACACAGACGAATATAGTTGTAATTTTAATCATATATATTGTGTAGTCTTAGATTTTTTTGGCCAAACGAACTTTCACAATCGCAAGTTTGAGTTTTTGTGAGAATGGAAGTGGTGGCAGTGAGGTCACATGGAGAGCCCACAAAGAAGCAAAATATTTGGTACTTTATTTGTTTTCTTGTGTTATAACAAAAATAAATAAATAGATTTATCTAAAGAGAGAGAGTTTCTATCCTATACTAATATTTGGGAAGTACATCCTAAGAGTCATAATTTAGATTTTGTAAAAAATTACAATATATGCCATTAGAGATCTCTAATTATAATCATTTTATTCCATTTCACTAATATATATTAACGGGTCAACGGGTCAAACGGGTTTAAAGATATTAAAAGATTTTATTTATATAATTCAAAAAATTCGAAAAATATTTCTTCAAACGATTACACAATTAATATAATTCGAAAATGTTATATACTAATCAATTCAAAAATATTACAAAAATAGTATAAATGTTATATACTAATCTATTATTCGAAAATGTGATCGCAAATGTTATTGAAAATGTTATATAGTAATCCATTATTCGAACTGTTATCAAAAATGTTATTGAAATTGTTAATGAAAATGATATATCATTGAAAACATTTTATATCAATCGAATTTATAAAAAATGTTATTTTGAATTATAATACTCATATAGTTCGAAAATGTTATTGAAAATGTTATATACTAATCCATTATTCAAAAATGTTATATCAATGAAAAAATATTATATTATTCGAATTAATCAAGAAACTATTATTTTCACGTCTATAGTTAGCCAAAAGGTATTATTCGAATTATAATTAAACAAAAGTTATTATTCGATTTGGTGTATTACTACAATTCGTAATCTTTGAGAATATTTTCAGTTTCCTTAAAATCTTTTATCATCAATTATTGATTTCGTTTGTTATATTCTGTTTCTTATAATTTAAAAACGCAAAATCAAATCCCCTGTATTAAGCAACTACAACAAACACCAGTAAAAAAGTCAACAAAATATTCGAATTTTCCTAAAATATATATTTATCATTAACTATAAAATCTAAAATCTTTCAAAAATTGTTAACCACGTAAAGATTTTGTAGTTAAGGAAACAAAAATTTATTTTTGAATATAATTTTGATTTTAAAAAATATAAATCGTAATGTATTCTGCAACTTAGGATTCCGTATATTATGGGAATCAAAAAAATTTCTTTTTCAATCATAAATTGGGTTATATATAAGGATAGTTTTTAAAATTTAATAATAAAATCACCATATTTGTTAAGATCTTAGTAGTTAAATATATTTAGATTAGTCGGCTAAACCTAAATTATGTACAAACTATCTCTCTATAAATAAAGGCATTTCAAGCTAACTCGGTTTGATTTAAGGTTTTGTTGTCAAAATAAAGTTAATAATATTATTTTGCTTTTGTCACTGCAGATAAAAACTCCACTTATCTACACTTATGGCATCGATGTGACGCGTAAAACATCTAAAAGGGAGATTGTGGTGATTCATGAAGACGACTGTTTCTGTTGATGGCTAAGACAACGATTGGAAACTGCTTAATGATCCGTTTAAAGGTAAAACCAAAGACATGTGTTTTATGAGAGAATTTGATACCAAAATCTGTGAAACATAATTGTGAAAGGTTCAGTGCGTTTATTTTACAGTGCAACGAATGCAACATGGTCTATGTGTGATGTATTGGTATACACGTACGTAATAGTATTGTTCTAATCCTCTTAATTGAATATTTTATTTTTCAGATGTAAAGATCTGGTCTTCAACCCGATGTAAAAGCACATGAAAAGAGCTTGACGAGAGAAAAAAACCTTAATTCGAAATGGTATATTATTGTTTATTTACCAATTTTTCTACATAATTTTAGGAACCATACCTATTAAGAAAAAAAATTATATATCTAAATACACATTTTAATGATGAGAGATATTTTCTTTATACTTAAATCGTTTATAGATTTATTTATTTTGTATAAATATTGCTTCTATTGACAAGTCAATTTTTCTAATTTATTTATTTAGATGAATTTTAATACCTTTTATTTTGTTTATTTTCACATGTCTTGACTTGATGGTTTGTTTCAGATCTTTATCCAAAGAATTTCATCCAAAGAGTCTGATTCAATGAGCCTGCGTATTGGGAATCTTGAAGCAAAAAGAAATTCAAGGTGAAACAATTTAGAAGGTTTGTGTGTTTCAAATATTTATGATTTACATGAAAACGTTACTTTTATTGAGAAATATATGAGTATTATATATAAAGAACATGTGGATTATTTTAACTAATTTTGTAAAACTTAAATATCCAAACAAAAAATACAAGAAATACACGTATCTCATACGAATTCTAGACCTATTCTCTTACCCGTTGAACTGAAATATAAAATTGCAAACGTGTAAATTATTTTTAAAAAAACGGTTATAAGATGGAATAATTTCTGACAGATTTGGGTTGAGAAGGGTTTTCCGTCCCGAAATGGACTTTCCTACTTTTTCTCATTTTTTTTTTATATAATTGCCTTTACTGATAACAAAAACAATTCCAATACTCCTTCTCTCTAAGTCGAATCGAAACCGTATGTATGCAGGTTATAAGTGCTACATCAAATTAAATCTTAACAAACATATCTTCGCACGAACGGGCGATAATTACGGTAATATGAAGGTATCATAAATTTAAGGTAGCTGAATTCAATTCTTAAACTCTCACTAATTTAGATATCTATCAATTTTGGTACGGGTAAAGGTATATTTCAAGATAAAAGTTCTGAAAAATTCGGGTATTTTTAAGACATAAGTGAGAAATATTAAAAAAAAAATGGATAATTTCCACTAATTTTGTAAAATTAATTACTCAAATGGAAAATACAAAAAATATAATACATGTATCCCATCCGAATCCTAAACCTATTCCCTTACTCGCTGGACTAAAATTTGAGGACCAAAATGCATGTGTTAAAATAAATTCTGTAACCGCATAATAATTTCATATTCCAAAATAGAAGTATTTGTTTAACAAAAAAAGAATTCATAAACATATACAATATATATTTCCAAAAAGTATAAAATTACAAACTTAGGCTTTAACTTTTACTATAAGATATATTTATAAAATAAAAAAAAAATTATAAAACACTAATAAATTGGATATTTACGGGTCACGTAGTAAAGCGAGAAATATACCGGGTAACGTGACAAGTATTAAAAAGACATATATCTGATACTTGACTTTTACCTACGGGTAACATAATTACACCTTTTACCTGACCCTAAGGTCACATATACCCTCTTTTCGAGACGGGTACGAGTCGGGAACCTATCAACCGGTTAGTTTATCTCATCGGTTCACAGATCTTTAATCATTCATAAGTTTAATAAAAATCTTATAGATCACTAATCCGCTTCACGGTTATTTCCAGTCCATCTGCTTCAAAGTACTGGTCACAATTTTGTTATTTTAAACATTTAACTATTTTATACTTCACACTGAAACCGAATCAAACTGCACTTGGTATAAATTCCACACGTACGTGCTGATCAGAATCTACATATATGACCAAAATAACAAAAGAATCTATATTGAATTAAATTTTATTAAAACAC